GGCCAACAACCCCCACCAAGGCTCCTCCGCAGAGGCGCAGGCTGCAGCAGCACCCGCAGTCTTTTTGCGGACTCCCGCAAGGTTACTTTGTGCAAAATATATTTCAAAGGACAGATTTATGGACTCGGAAGGTGCAGCACATGGACCACCGCAATGTTCATAGATCTCTGGGTTATGCAGGGTTGTAAAACACATTTGCATTCTTTTCAATATTTCCGATTTATTGCTTTATCAAGCTCGACTCTGAATTAGTTTAATGGCGTGGAATAATAATCTTTTTCTCCTTGCTCTCTTTTCTCTCTCTCTCTTTCTCTCCCCTGCCTCCATCTTTTCTCCTGTACAGCTGTAAAAAAGACACAGACCAGGGCTGGGGATTTAGCTCAGCGGCATAAGGGCCTGCCTTGCAAGCAGGCAGTCCTGCAAGCAGGCAGTCGTGAGTTCGATCTCGGGTACCAATAAAAACGAAAAAGACAAAAAAAAAAAAAAAAAAAAAAAAAAAAAAAAAAAAAAAAAAAAAGATACAGAGCTGCTTGGAGCAGGGAGCTCAGGAGTTTGATTCCAGCCAGGGTAACTCAGTGACTTACTGAGACTTGGTCTCAAATTTAAAGAGAGAGACAAAGGCTGAATGTGGTGCAGATCTGTGATCCCAGCACTGGGGAGGCTGAGGCAGGAGGATCATTGTGGGTTCTAGGGCAGTCTGTGGGCTACTTGGTGAGTTCAAGATCAGCCTGAATACAGAGCAAGACCCTATCTCAAGAAAACCACAAAGTGGGCTGGGGATTTAGCTCAGCGGCATAAGCGCCTGCCTTGCAAGCAGGCAGTCGTGAGTTCGATCCCTGGTACTGAAAAAGACAAAAAACACAAAGTAAGATGAAATTTAAAAAAATTTTTTTTGTCTTTTTTGAAACTACTTCAGGGTGGCCTTGAACTCACTTTATAACTCAGGCTGGCCTCGAACTTGTGGTGATGCGCCTGCCTCAGCCTCCCCAGTGCTGGGAGGACAGGTGTATGCCATCACTTCTTTTTTTTTTTTTTTTTGTCTTTTTCGTTTTTATCGGTACCAGGGATCGAAGTCACGACCACCTGCTTGCAAGGCAGGTGCTTATGCCGCTGAGCTAAATCCCCAGCCCAGCCCCACCACTTCTTTCTTAACTCCAGTTCATTAGATGGGGGCTTGAGTTTCCTAGTGCCAAAGCACACAGCGGCCTAGACAGCTACATTTTCTTGCGTCAGCAGAGTGGACACGCTGGGCACTGGCTGCTGGCCCCGGGACCTGAGCTGGGCTGAGCCCAGCTCTGTCCCCACAGTGAGCAGCCCCAGAAAGGACCTGTTGCTGTGGACTGGCCCTGCTGTCAGCCTAGATCCCCCAGAGCAGGCCTGGTCCTCACTGCAGTCCACAAAACTGGGCTCTGCAGGTTAGCTCGGGACCTGGAGCCACTGACCTGGATCCCCTAACTGGTGCCCGGGCTGGCTCCCCTGACCCTCTGTGCCAGCCAAGAGGATGCCCCCTGGAACTGGCCTGGCCTGTGCTTGGGGCTCTGCTGTGCTCTCTCAGGACTGTGCCCAGCTCAGGCCCACGCCTGGCTCAGGCCCTGAAATGGCTCGCATACCACAGGCTCCTGGGGACACTGGGCACACTGGGGCCCTTGCAGGGTGCTGGGCAGGGTGGAGGCAGCTACTTAGGGTGGCAGGGTCGGCCCTGAATCCTGTGTGTCTCTGGCCCTGTCTAGTTCTGTCTCTGCTTTGGTCTTTGGCACAGTCACTATCTCTGTCCCTGCCCTTTCCCTGCCTCTGTGTCTCAATGTCCTCCCGTCAGGGACTCTCCTAGCCCCCCTACCAAGCTCCATGTGGGTCCCCAGTGCCCTCCCTTGTCCCTGCCCTGGCCTAGGCCTCATCTGTCCCCAGCAGTGGTAGCTGCCACCCTGGGCCAGCCACCAATGTTGGGGGAACAGACACCACGAGGTCACAGGTCCTGGGGTGGTAGGGTGTGGGAGCTCAGCACGGGGGTGCCTGGCTCCCAGGTTGGGGAGCCCAGCAGCTGAGAGGCAGTGGCCAGCACTTGAGAGGCTGAGGCAGGAGGATTTTGAGTTCAAGTCCAGCCTGGACTACATAGTGAGACTCTGTTTTAGAAACAAACACACACACAACCAGAAAAAACAGCAGTTCATACTGAGTGTGGGTGGATATGTACTAAAACATGCTCCATCTCAGTACCCATAAACCCACCTGATGCGTATACACAGGTGTGCACCAAGGCGCATGTGCACAGGGTGCGGGTGCTCACTCAGTGCCGGCCGGGGGTGCCCTCAGGAGCAGCAGGTTGTGCCTGCAGCACACCAGCCACCCCAGCTGGGGGCCTGAAGCCAGAGCACGGAAGGGCTCACTCAGTTTGGGCAACTTAGCGAGGCTCTGTCCCCCCGCCCCCCAAATTAAAAAGTGCTGGTGCCGGAGTTCAGGGCAAAAACCTGGTTCCCCCTTTCTCCCCACAAGTGGGAAGCAGCCTATGTGTGAATTTAGGGGAGACGCCCAAGCCTATGGGAATCCAGCCATCTACACTGGGGCAAATGTTAGTCATACAGGAAACAAAAGGAACACAGAGAAAGAGAGAGAGAGACAGACAGACAGACAGTGTTGCTTGGAGGTGGAAACCTCACTGGATGAGCTATGAGGGTAAAAGGGTGAGATGAAGAGCAGTCAGGTGAAATTCCAGTGCTCCTTCAGTGAGGAAAGGGAAAAGACTCTGTGAGCACAGGGATGTGTACGGATGCCTGGGAATTTGGGTAAGGATTCAGAACATCATTTAAGAAAGATCGGAAGGGGAAGAGGGAGGCTGTCCTGTGTCCTTTAATAATGACTGAGTTCTTTTACTTGTGAATATATACCTGCTTTAATTAAAAAACTAATTCTTTATCAGACAGGGTTTCGCTGTGCAGTGCAGGCTGGTTTTGAACTCTCTATGTAGCCCAGGCTGGCCTGGAACTCATGATGATCCTCCTGCCTCAGCCTCCTGAGTGCTGGAATTATGGATGTGTGCCATCGCAGCCCGCTCTTAAAAAACTAATCTGAAGTAAATTGATAGATAACTCAAATGGTAACTGTCCCTCAGGTGATTCTTACATATGAAGTTGGAGAACAGTCAAAGTTTAAAGAAGTCTCTTACCCATAAGAAACCCATCTCAGAGGGGTGTACACCCCTCCATGGAGTACAGTGGGTTCCCACGGGGGATGTGGAGGGTTAGGGTATTGTAGAGAGTACAGGGGCTCCTGTTTCCCGAAACTTGGGCCACAGCAGTCTCAAGGGTTTCACTTGAATCAGCCCCATTTACAGACAGAAAACAGCCCTCGAGAACTGTGGTGGTTCGAGATCATAAGATGAAACCTGACTTCTCTCTTCACTATGTAATGGGTCAGTAAAGGAAGAGAAGGAGGGATAGAGGGAGAAAGGGGAGGGAGAGGGAGGAGGAGGGGGAAGAGGAAGGAAGAACGAGGGAGAAAAGAGACAGAAGACAATAAGGGAGAAAGGAGAGGAGGCAGGAGGCAAAGATGGAAATCTCTCACAGGGTTGGGCACCAGGAGGATGGTGGGGGTCCCCATCCCTCTCCCCCCACCCCAACCCAGCCCCAGCTCTGTGCAGAGGCCCCCAGGAGAGGCCAGACTCTTTTGTTTTGTTTTGTCTTGTTGAGACAGGGTCAGGCCAGCCTTGGGGTCATTTTGTGGCTCAGGCTGGTCTCGAATTTGTAGCAACCCTCCTGCCTCAACCTCCAGAGTGCTGGGATTATAGGAATGCACCACCACACTGGTCTTCTGCCAAACCACACTCCTCGTCCTCCCCTGCCCCTAACTACAGTTGTAGCCTTCCCAGTCTCCTCCAGACCCAGGGTCAGGCCCTGGTGCTCCAGATCTCCAGGGCAGTAATCTGTTTGTACCCCATTTCTCCCATGAGGGCTGGGGAGTGTGGGTCCCCGGCATCCTGCTGGGACTCGGGAGTCCTGGCTTCCAACTCCTCCTGCATCACAGTCCCAGAGTCTACACTACCTGTCCCTAGGAGTTCCGAGCCCTAGCTGCTTCTGCCTAGAAAGCCAAAAAAACCTGCCAGTCTGCCTTTCTTGTCCTGGGTCCATTGTCTGGGCCTCTGTCCCACCCCTTTACTCTGAACTGGAGTTTGAATCCCCAGTGCCCCGGTAGAGCTGCTGATCACTCTGCAGAGAAGAGAGGTGACTCGTAGAGAGCCAGCAGCTGCAGGGTCAGGGCAGGGACCTGTGGGCAGCACCCTGCATGGTGGTGCCCTCCCCTCTCCCGGGAAACAAGGTGTCACAAAGCCAGCTGTAAACCCCCTTGGGGAAGGAAAGAGCCCAGTGGGGATCCCTGGTGGCTGTCACAACCCCATGGTGCTGTGGAAAAAGTGAGAAGAGGGAATGGTTTTAACCTATTATGTTCATTTATTTGATTTAAAAGATAAAAATTGCCTGGGCGTGGTGGTGCATGCCTGTAATCCTAGCCCTCTGGGAGGCTGAGGCAGAACTGCGACTCTGAGCCCGGCTTGGGCACCCTAGCTACTTAATGGGGCAGAGCGAAGACTGCTGGAGTAACTCCCAGTCTCCTGAAAATAGGGGCCAGATCCTCTCCTCTTCAGGCGACCTGAGTTATGCAGCACAAGAAGTGCACAGGGAGAACCCAGATGAAAGTGCGCTTTCTGCCCGGGTCCACCTCGAGGTCCCTGCGACCCTGAGCGGTAAACAGGTCATTGGCCTGGGCCTCAGCTCCTTTGTCTGTAAAATGGGCCTTCACAAACAAACCGCAATGAAGATAATTTCATTCCGTTCTTGGCGGGCCACAAGAGGACTATAAGTTTCCCCTCCTCGGCAGTGACTGGGAGGGTAAGGCAGAAAAGTGATCCCAGCCAGTGCGCTGTCAGCCTTGGTCCACTTGAACCTTCCCACCCCCTATCTTCGGACATTCGCTCTGAGCTAGTGCGCACGCGCCGATTGAGCCGGAGAAGAAACCACAACTCCCAGAGGGCTCCGCGCCCTCGCTTCGGCGCTCTTGCTCCAAGGCGCACGCGCAGCCCAATCTGCAGAGCCCTGCGTAGGGACCACAACTTCCAGAGTGCTCCGCGCCCTCACCGCCGCCGAGCAACATGGCTTCTAGTGAGTCGGGCCTGCGGGTGCGCGGGGTTCTTGGAGTTGCGGGAGCCGCGGGCGGTCTGGGGGCAGAGGTGCAGCGCAACGCAACTCGAAGGCGGCCCAGGGTCCACCTAGCTTGCGCAGTTCCCAGGAGCCCCTGCGGGGCGGTGGCGCGAGAGAGCTAGGGGTCACTTGGGCAGTCCAGCAAAGGTGACCCGCGCCCTTCCACTCTAGGAATCGCCGGCTTCCTCAAGAAAGCCTGGGCCCAGGAGCCGGTGCTGTTCGTGTCCTTCACTATCGGGGGCCTCGGTGCGTGAGTCTCCCTGCCGCGGACGCGCATTCCCCGCCTCTCACTTCCCACCCGCACTGTTCCACGCTGCGCCCCCAGCGTGCGCCGCCCCTGACCTGGTGGGGATCCCTCCTGCTGTCTGCAGTGGTCTGCTGAAGAGGTGCATGGTTCCCTTACGAGGCACAAACAGGCCCAGGCCGTTCCCTGAGGATACTCCCTACGCCAATAGAATGGCCCAGGGAATTAAGGATGCGTGCCCCTTCCCTCCCGACTCTTTTGAGTTTCTTGGGGCGCGGAGTGGGAAATCTTGGATCTCCAGCAAATCCGATTGTCAACCTGTGTCCTGTCACAGCGTTGGCTGGCGTTGGAGGCTTAGTTGTGCAGGCCATAGGTCTGGGGCAAGGGGCCGGGACTCTGCAGTTAATAGCTTCCCAGGCCTTGGCGTCAGTACCCATAGCCCATGGCCACACACAGGGTAAGGCCCTGGGACAAGCCACCCACCCCAGAGAGCACTAGGCTCTTAAAGTGTGACTGGTTCAGCGGAGATGGTCCAAGGCACATCGAATTTTAAAAGGATCAGTACTGTTAATTTGTCTGTCATGTGAGAAAGGGTAACAGCTGGATCGTGCCAAGCTAACCATGCCCTTTATTGTTGATGTGGCTACTAGAAAACTTCCAGGTAGCTGCCATGTGCCTGTCAGACAGCATAGGCCTGCCCCACTCCCAGGACTCTTGGTGCTGCCCTTGTCAGCGGTTGCTCTTTGTACAATCTCTGTCCTGCTGAACTTTCCTAAGATGCTCATACCCAGTGATCACTATACTCTTCCAGTTCGGCCCCCACTTCCTCCTGTTGCAGCCCAGGAGAGCTGACTTAGCTGACGACTAGGCTCTCTTCCCTCTCTTCACCTCCCACCTCGGTAACCCCCTCCTGCCTGTAAGTGGGGGCTGCAGAAGGCCAGAGGCCTGGAATAAGCAGCCTTCTTGACCCAGCCTCCACCACACTCACCCATCTCTCCCTACAGCTATAATTCTGCCCTTGATCAGCCCCTACACCAAGTATGCCAGCATGATCAACCAGGCCACACCCTACAACTACCCAGGTAAGTGGGCCTTCCTAGAGGAGATTGGTGGTTCACGGCAGTCTGGACTCTGCCTGTCCAGGCAATACCCACTCCCCCTTCTGTTTGTATGCTTTGAGTGTTTCTTTATCAATTTCTCTTCCTGTCTCAGAGCCTGTATCCGCCACTCTCTGGGGCTCTTAGGGTGGCCCTGATTTCTCCCCTCTGCCTCTGTGTGGCCCATTCTCCGACCCTCACTACTCTTCTCTTCCTCAGCCCTTTTGCTTCTGTGGGGGGCACTGGAGACCCACCTGTATCAGCAGCCCACCTTTCTTTCCCACCCACAGTGCCTGTCAGAGATGATGGGAACATGCCGGATGTGCCCAGCCATCCCCAGGACCTCCAGGGCCCCAGCCTGGAGTGGCTGAAGAATCTGTGAACACCTCTTTCTTCAGACAGGAAGCTGGCACCTGCCCCATTCCCCCAATAAAAGTATGAAAGCCAACCCCAGCTTGTGAGTGTGTGGTCAGGAATGAGAGTTGGTTTATTGGGGTGGACTCAGTCGAAGGGTGGGCTGGCTAGGGTAGGGTAGGGCAGCAGCTTGTCAGGCCCCCGAGAAACCCAACTCGAATCCAGGGCCTCCTCTGCTTCAAAGCCAAAGTCTTCCTCTACCTTAATCTGGGGAAATGAGGAAGAGCACTTGTGGGCCTGGGGAACTGGAAGATGCCCAGCAGCCTCCCCAGCTGCCAACTGCTGTGCTCTGGACCGACCCAGGGTGCCTTCCCTCCTGTGTCACCATCCTTCCTCTCTTACCCCCACCTTTCTCCTGTCACTGTCCTCTGAGCCCCCTTCTCCTTCCTTCCCGCTGCCCCCTCCCCTGGTTCTCCCAGTCCAGGCTCCTGCCCACCTGCACAGGGGCCAGTTCCGGGGTCAGTGCTGCTCCTGGGCCCACTCGGCCCCCATCCCGCTGTGCTCGCCGCCTCTTTCGCCCGCTGGGCCCTTCTCCAGGGGCTGGGCTGCTGCTAGCTTCAGGGGGTACGGAAGTCCTTCTGGACGGGGACAGCCCCTCCTTCTCTGCAGGCTCATTCTCAGCATTGCCCGGGGTGGGGGCATCTGTGCCCTGACTGCCCTCGTCCTGGAGAGGAAGGAGGCAGATGAAGGCCATGTCCTGGGCTCCCAGTCCCCGACCCCAGGGAGGAGCAGCGCTTACCTCCAGCATGATGGTGAACTGGCTGGCCCGGTAGTCATCTCCATAGGAGTCTAGCACCCTCATGAGGAACCTATGTGGGCAGAGACAGGGCCACTGTCGCTCTTGGCTGGAGTGGAGGAGCTCTGCAGCCTGAGAGGCCTGGTAGCCAGCTCGCCTGCTGCCCAAAGCCTACCTGGCTGCCTGGAGCCTGCCTGATAGTGTTGGTTTTGCACCTGTGATGGGTGGTGACAGCCAAGGGGACAGGGAAACCTGCTGCTGGGTGATGGTGCTGCAGTGCCCACACTTGAGGCTCGATCCTTCTTCCTGGGGTACAGCAGGGCCAGGTCTGTGTGTCAGGCGCCCGGTCTGAGCTAAGCTCCTCAGCTTGTGTACACTGTGCCCCGTGGGCAGCTTGGAGGGCGAGTGCTGAGAGCTCCTGCTGAGGGCTTGGGAGCAGCCAGCTGGTCCCCCCTCCCGGTCTGCTCTGCTCTGCTCTGCCCTGCCATCAGCTCCCACATGAGCCACGTCCTGTGCTCCTGTGTCATCGGGGGCTGGATACACAGGGTGGCTGGCTGGGGTGGGGAGAGGCAGTCTAGGCTGGGGTAGGAGGGACAGCTACCTGCGCTCCTGCTGCAGCCTCCGAGTTATCCGCTGTACCTGGTGCAGCCTGTCCAGGACCCGCTCATTCACCTGTGCAGGGAGAGAGCAGTGCTTTGACACCTCTGCTCAGCGTCCAGCTCTTCCCAGGCATCAGCTCTGCTCCTCCTCCCTCCCTCAGCCCTCTCCCTCCTCCACCTGAGTGCGCTGGCCCACAGGCACAGGCCCGCACTCCTGTCTAGGGGCTTTCCTCTCCACTGGACCTGGTGTTGAACCCAGGGCCTGCTCAGGGTGCCATTTTCTGTTCTGCATTTTCACACAGCCTCAGTTGCTCTGAACTTGTGACATCCCTATCTCAGCCTCCCTAAGGCTATGTCACCATGCCCAGTGTGTGTCTTGGGGCTTTCCAGGAGCTGTCACCTCTGCTGTACCCATTCCCACAGCTCCATAGGTCCTAGCTCAACTGTCACCTGCTGAGGGAGCCCCAGGCCTCCTTATACTGTTAGACACCTCCCGGCCCACCATCCATGCAGCTGTATCCTTCTCCCTCATAGCTCCGCTTACACCCCATGTTCCTTTTGCCCTGTCTGCTCCCCAGCCTGACATGCACTCTGTGAGGGCAATGATGGTACCTGTGTCCCCCAGCCTCAGTCCCATGGCTCCATCACTGAGTGTCCTACCCTTTTCCACCTGACAGCTTTCACAAGGGCTGGCACAGACTTATGGGCCGTGCCTGGACCTGGATGGTGGCTGGGAGAAAGAGCATCATGCAGGAGGCCAGCATCACCCTAAGCACAGACCCAGAGGGAGACGGGCAAGAGTGGAAAGCCCAGTGCAGTGGCCCAAGCATGGACTCCCCCTGGCCAGAAAGGCTGGACTCAAACCCCCAGAAAGGTGTGATGGAGTCAAGACCCTGCATCCCAGCATGTGACTGTATCTGAAGACGGTCCACAGATGTAAGCAAGTTAAAATGCGCTCCTTGGGGTTTGGCCTAGCTCAGTGGCTGCGGAAACTGACGCAGACTGGCACACAGAGTAGCACTGAGAATGAAGTCACAGGCCAAGGTGACACTGCTGCTATGCATCAACACCAAGGTTGCTGGTAACAGGCAATGGAGACTGCACTGAGGCACTTGGGAACAGCCTGGTGATAACCTGGTCCCAGACTTCCCATCCCTGAACTGCAAGACAAAGCCAGGCATGGATGGCGGTGTGTGCCTGTGATCCCAGCACTCTGGAGGCCAAGGCAGGAGGACTGCTGAAGTCTGAGGCCAGCCTGGACTACACAGACCTTAAAAAAAACTTAAAACTGGAACACAGCAAATGTTAGTTACTGAACCACCAGCCTATTGTACTTTTGGAGGCTCCAGTGGCCTGAACAAACACCACATAACTGTCTTTCCTAAATCTTTCAGAGACCTGACCCTCCTCCCTTTAAAGCCCTTCACCTGCTCCAGAATCCAGAAAGAAAGAACTCCAAGATTCTTGCCCTGCTGCTCTTGCCCAAGAGGATCTGAGCCCTGCTTCTGCCCCATCCTCCTATCCATCAGGGAGGCATTCTGAGTTACTCCGTGCAGCCGGAACCTGAGTCTAGAGCAGGGGCCGTGGGACGGAGAGGAAGCGAACCCACGCAAGTCTGGGCGTGGGGAGGCCAGAGCGTCTCTGGTCAGGGAGGCTCAGAGCTGGCAGCTTGGCCCGGGAGGTGACCCAACACGGGTCTCCGCACTCACCTACCTGCTCGATCTCCCTGCAGCGCCGGACCAGCGCCTGGTACTTCCTGCGGTTCAGCTCCCGCTGGCGCCGCCGCTGCCCTCGGGCTGCCTCCTCCTCTTCGTCGCGCTCCCGGAGCCCCGAGCCCCCCAAGCCGCCGGATACAAACTCCACTTCGGTCTCTAGCTCGCTCTCCAGGATGTGCCCGCCGAACAGCGGGGGCAGCGCCAACTCTGAGCCTGGCGGCGCCGAGAACTCCTCGAAACCCACGGCTGCCATGGTTCTGCAGGGCCAGAGGGGTTGAGGGGCGCCGGATCCCAGTTTTCCAGCCCCACCTCATTCCTCGTTCCTCCTCCTCCATGCTCCCGATCTCACACACCCAGATTCCGTCTGATCCCCGGTGTTCTCCGGTGCAGACGCCAGGCCTACCCCGTCGGTGGTTAACGTGTAACAATTGCACAAACTACAACCCCCAGCAGACCCCGGGGAACAGGACAGAGCGGCGCATCCCGGGCCGCAGCGTCCTCTGGGTGCGCGGCCTGTCCCCGCCCACGGCTCGCCACTCACCCCTCTCTCTGCTCCAGCTCCATCTCTCCCGTTCCCGGCCCCTAAGCCGCACCACTTCAGCCTCAAGCGTCTAGGTTGAGCCGTGCGCAGAACTACTGGTCCCATCAGGCTTCGAGGTCCAGGAAGCCAGGGGCCTTCTGGGAGTTGTAGTTTTTCAGTTCCGGTTTCGTTTACTCTACTCTCATGGCCCTAACTGAAATCACGGTTTCAAGACCTTCTTTTGTTTTCTACGCTGCTACCAGTTGTCTGCGCCGCTACCGGTTTTATTCTTGTCTTGATGCTCAGCAATGGGCACAGGGATTCGTCGCGTAGCCGGCTCTGTGCCCGGGGCCACGAGCCCGCTGAACCCCTCCTCAAGCCCGGTAGCCAGTCTGCGCCCGAGGTCGGGCGCTAAGAGTGTTCTTCCAGCTGGCCAATCAGAGCGCAGCTTTGTCGCGTTGGCGCACGTGACACGTCATCAATGAGCGCCCGCCTTGTAGCCTGGCTAATCTCCTAGGGACCGCGGTTCGCGGGGGGAAGAGGTAAGTGTTCTGGGGGGTAACGCGAGACCGGGAGGCCCCGCTCCTGGGTCTGCAGGAGGAAGCGTGTGAGGAGAAAGCAGGAACCTTACAGGTTGGTCCCCAAAGGCCTCGTGTGCTATGGCCCTGTCAGGAGTGAGACCGCTCCCTCCCCTTGCGGAGCGTTGACTGACGCTCCGGACTCAGGCTCGGAGAAGGAGCCACTTAGTCCCCAATGTGTGAAGGCTCGAGGATGGACGCGGCCTCGGGGAGCCTGCACGCTGGCGGGGTTGATGAAGAAGCACCAGGGTCTCCTAGGGGAGGGCTGCTTCTGTAATAAAGCGGGACCGGCCAGGGGCAGCTTTGCGGAACCTTGCGCATCCTTTTCCCTAGGCCTTGGGATGTCTCTGGCAGATGAGCTCTTGGCCGACCTTGAGGAAGCAGCAGAAGAGGAAGAAGGAGGAAGCTATGGCGAGGAAGAAGAGGAGCCGGCCATCGAGGATGTGCAGGAGGAGACCCAGCTGGATCTCTCTGGGGATTCGGTCAAAAGTATCGCCAAGCTGTGGGACAGCAAGATGGTGAGGGGGCGCGGGGGTGCGAGATTCTGCAGATCGAAGCTCCCAGGACGTGGCGCAGTGGAAACTTCTCGCCGAAGAGCCCCCGGTGACTCGGTTCTCCTTCCCTGACAGTTTGCCGAGATCATGATGAAGATCGAAGAGTACATCAGCAAGCAAGCCAATGCTTCGGAAGGTACTTCCTCCCTCTCAGCTTCCCCTCTTCATTCTCCGTCAAGCCTCGCGGCTCCTTTGCACCTTGTGGCTTACATATTGAGCATTTGTCCCTCTCAGTCTTTCCCAGAGCCCTCTTTCTGTCCATCCCACCTCCATCCACTTCTCCCTGAAAAACACTGTACAGTAGAGTCCTCATTTTGTGCTGAGTGCTTACGAATTGTGGTAGAACTTGTCTCAGAGTTCCCCAGATGGGCCAGATGTGTTGGCACAGGCTTTAGTCCCATTCTCTAGGAGCCTGAGACAGGAGGATCACAGGTTTGAGTATAGGCCCCACAACGTAGCAACTTAAAAAGATCCTGTCTCAAAACAAGGAACATAAAAGGTTGGTAACATAGCTCAGTATAAATGGCCTAGGTGCAAGCCACAGTACTGACAATTAAATACTTAAATAAAAGTCCTGAGTTGCAGTAGCAGACGTGACCAGTTGCAGGGTTTTGCCACATCTGCAAACCATGTGTTCTATGTCTACTTCAGATTCTTTCCAAATCAGTGAGCGTTTTTTTCTCAAGTATAAGTAGGATTTGAATGTGTTATTGCTGAGAATGGAAACCTGGAACATCTGGGTACATACAGAAGTCAGCATGAGCTAAGTACCCTACTGTTAGGGCATCAGCTGGAAGCTTTTGTAGGTTCTGGCTCTGCAGAACTTGGGATCATGTCTTAAGCACTCAGCACGCCTGCAGGGCAGGCCTGTGCCAGATCCGGGTCTCCTGGGCAGGGCGGGACTGTGGACTCTGGAGAGAGTTGCTGGGCATAGGAAGGATATAGGCAGAATGCAGGTTCGGAGAGATCATTGCACTCTTCCTTTAATGTTTGTTTGGATCCTTAGTAAAATCAGCCCAGATCCCAGGCAGTCTGTGGTAGGTCACTTTGTAGCTAGGGACAGCCTGGAGGCCCAGGAAGGACAGAATGGCCTCACCCTGGGGGCAGATATGTGACTAGAGTCCAGAGCATGAGCCCATTTGCCAGGCAGAGAAGGGGTGGAAGGGGCCCCAGACAAGGGAGCAGCATGGCCGCACCTCAGACATCAGGAGCACCGGGAAGGCTCAGGAAGGAGCCAGATCCTGCTGGGGCCCAAGGCCAGGCGAGGAGTTTCGGGTCCAAGGAACTACAGGGAGGGACATTTCCTGAGCTCAGGCTGGGTGTTGGGTGGGGCTGGTGTTGATCAGTGTCTGGTGGTAGGGGAGCCCAGGTGTAGTGTGGGTGTGGTGGAGACGTCAGCAGGAAGCTGCTCCATCACCACCTGGAGGCCAGGGGTGTTTGGGCAGGGCTGGGACAGATTGCAGCTCCCTGCCCAGGGTCAGCTCTGTTTGCCCTGCACAGCATCAGGCAGTGTGGCCTCTGAGCCTCTCTTTGCAAGTCCAGTTCAGTGTGGACCTGCCTTGGCCATGGGTGAGGTAAATCAGCTCCTGTGGAATGCAGAGCGGCACCTGGAGGGCCCGATGGGTCTTTGTGTGTTGGCTGCTCCAACGTCAAGCCCTGATGATACTGCGTTACCAGTACTGTGCAGAGTACTTTCTAGAAGCCTAGGAAAAGGGAGACACAGCCTCTGGTAGAGATCAGAAGCGGACTGGCAGGACTTGGCCCGGCCGGGTGTAGTTGGGTGGTGTCAGGTGGAGCCAGGCAGAGAGACAGGGCTCGAAGGCAGAGAGGCCATGCACCAGGGTGGATTGCCTGGGTCTGCGCACCTTGGGTGCAGCCATGGGTGGCATAGGTGCAGGACTCGTCATTGGGCGTCCACAGACAGGGCGACCTTGAGTATCATTCTGGGACACTAGGGAGCCATAGGAGGCTCTATACAAGGCGAGGTCAGGTCTAGACCTGTCGGAGGTCAGGACAGATGGGGGAGGAGGGAGTGGAGGCAGGCTGTGGGCACAGCCTTGCCGGTGTCTGATGTCTGCTTCAGCCTCGAGCTGTCTCCCCACTGCTTGCCCCCTGCTGGCTTGGGTACAGACATAGCCCCATCCTCTCCACAGTGATGGGACCAGTGGAGGCAGCCCCTGAGTACCGAGTCATTGTGGATGCCAACAACCTGACTGTGGAGATCGAGAACGAGCTGAGTGAGTGCTAACGGAAGTGGGGGCCCTCTGTGTCCTGTTTGGCCCCTGTGGGCGCCGGCCCATACCCTTGTACTGGCGCTGACCTGGTATGCCCGAGAGGAGGACGAATGGTCCTTCCCTCAGGGCCTGTCCAGAAGCTGCACATGGTCACTTCCACTTCTAGCTGGTGACCAAGGTGGCCAGGGGATCTGAAAGGAGTTGGGGCATAGCCTTTGTGCCTGGTGTCCGGGTGCTAAGCTGCAGTCCCGAGGGAAGGAGGAGGAGGGGGGAGCAGGCATCAGGACCGACATGGGCCTGCCCTCCTCATGGAATGGCCCTCTCTGTCACCAGACATCATCCACAAGTTCATCCGGGACAAGTACTCGAAGAGGTTCCCTGAGCTAGAGTCCTTAGTCCCCAACGCGCTGGACTACATCCGTACGGTCAAGGCAAGTGGGGGCTCCGGGAGTGCAGGCTTAGCACGGTGGGGTGGGGACCTGCAGAGGGTCCTCTCCTACCCTGAGGGGCTCTGGGGTCCCCAGCAGTGCGTGGGGCTGGTAGCATTGAGACCTTAATAAAGGCTGGCACACAGATGGGGCCATCCAAGTGCTGAGGTCCTGTGGGAATCAGACAGCATCGAGTCCAAAGGGACAGCTGAGACTGCAGGGGTCAGGGAGGCTTGGCCTTGAGGCTTCTGCTGTTTTGGAGAAGCCAAGGGGCAGAGCTGGGTACCTTGGTGCACGCCTGTCATCCTAGCAGTCTGGGAGGCCGAGGCAGGAAGGTCACAAGCTAGAATTGAGCCTGGGCAGCTGAGTGGGTCCCTGCCTGTGTGCAGATCAGGGCTTGGCAGAGGAAGTCCCACGTGGCCTGCTCTGATTTGGAGTGGACCTTGGCCTGCTCAGTGGGGCACATCTTCCTGCTCTACCCCTCCTGGCTTGTGGAGCTGCCAGGGTGCTGATGCTTCGAGCAGTGAACTTCTGGGGACTCGTAGGAGGCAGGAGGGTCCTCAGTGTACAGACCCCAGGGTTCCCAAGCGAGACCTGATGGAGTACAAAGTGGAAGACCTGCTGTGTCCTTTGTGAGGCCCTGACTCTGCCTTCCCCACCCCCAGGAGCTGGGCAACAGCCTGGACAAATGCAAGAACAACGAGAATCTGCAGCAGATCCTCACCAATGCTACCATCATGGTGGTCAGCGTCACGGCCTCCACCACGCAGGGGTACGGATGCCCCGGACCAGCTGACGTGGGCAGAGATGGCAGGCGGGGACTTGGGCCCCGACCCAGGGCTCACATGGGCAGGGAGCCTGTACACACACGCACACAAGCACTTGCACCTGCATGTGAGCTCACACATTGTGGGGCAGACGGGCAAGTGGGTGGAGGCAGGACCCCCAGCAGGCCCATCCTGTCCCCTGCAGGCAGCAGCTCTCTGAGGAGGAGCTGGAGCGGCTAGAGGAGGCCTGTGACATGGCGCTGGAGCTGAATGCCTCCAAGCACCGCATCTACGAGTACGTGGAGTCCAGAATGTCCTTCATCGCCCCCAACCTGTCCATCATCATCGGGGCGTCCACAGCAGCCAAGATCATGGGTGAGGCTCAGGGCAGGGTATTCAGGGCAGCTTCTGCTGAGGTGGGTGCCTCGGGGAAGTGGAGGCCCCAGAGCCCTGTTCCCTGTCCTTTGCTTGCTGGAGGTCATCAGCCACCAGGCTGGCACAGGCAGAGTGGATAGATGGGCGCAGAGTGGGGCTTAGCTTGGGGCCTTGGTCAGCAGGAGCATGAAGGTGGGCCCACAAGCCTCTGTGTTCCATGTGCCGCATGCGGGTTCCTGCACCCTGACCCTCTGCGGCTCCTGCCACTCCTAAGCTCACTCAGTGCCCTGGCTGGGGCTTCACGTTTTTGTCCCTGGTGGTCACTGGCAGCTGTCCAGTTTTCTCTGGCTCTGATGAGTGACCATGTGTCTGGTCCACTTTGTCACCCCTCTCTGGCTGCTGGCTGCTGGTGGGCATTAGGGAAGACCCCGATCAGCGCTCTCCCCAGCTTCTGGGGCACCCCTGCACCCTGGGGCTCATGTCCTCCTCCAGCTTCCGAGTCCCCTTGCTTCACTGGTGCTGTCTCCCCTGCCACCTCTTCCACTGTGAGACCTCCTGCAGTTGGGTCCCTCTCCAGTGTGTAGTGCCTTCACCGTGTCTAGGGGGCCACTTGGACCACTCTGGCCGTGCTCAGTTCACTACGCCTGTGCTGGAGGCTCTTCCTGGGGTCCTCTAGCAGAGGGGACAGGCTCCCCAGTCCCAAGAGTCCTGTGCCAGGTCCCTGTCCGTGGCTGGAATGTGTCCCACAACTCCTTTCCCCTCCCTGTGCTCACGCAACTCACTGGAACCAGCCAGACCCAGGGCCTGTGGCTGCCGGGAGCCCTTGGTTTGACCATAGGCCCAGCACTCAGGGCGCTGAGGCAGGGGAGCACTGCGAGCTCAAGGCCAGCCTGGGGTACCCAGTAAACTCAGGGCTAGCTTGAACTGCCCAGCGAGGCCTTGTCTCAAAAAGCAAAACAAAAACATGGATATTGGTAAAATCAGCATTTGGGGCTGCATGGGGTCAGCTTCCTCTTGGGATCAGTACTTACTACCAAGCACCCTCGGGGAGGTCGCTGCCCCTCTGAGCTGCCCGCACATCTGTCCCCATTGACCCGAGCTGCTCCGGCCCTCGCAGTCAGGGCCAGCACCCCCCTCGTGCAGCAGTGCAGCGTGCAGCAAACCCCCACAGCAGCGGCGTCTCTCCTGTCCCCAACCCCGTGCAGGTGTGGCTGGCGGCCTGACCAACCTTTCCAAGATGCCCGCCTGCAACATCATGCTGCTCGGCGCCCAGCGCAAGACACTGTCCGGCTTCTCATCCACTTCAGTGCTGCCCCACACCGGGTACATCTACCACAGCGACATTGTGCAGTCGCTGCCCCCGGTGAGCCCCCACCTGGCACCTGCACCCTCCAAGCTGGGCACCTGTGAGCCTTGGACCGGAACAGCGCTGCAGCCTGATCCCAGGAGGGCAGGGCAGGCCTTTCTCACCAAGCCAGTGGCCCAGTGTACTTGACATTTCCAAAACACTGCTCTGTAATGGCAGAAAACACAAATTTCAGGGACATGTGGACAGGTCCTTTTATTGTAAACACTGTGTTTTAAAATTTTGTTTTTTACTGGGCTGTGTGTTTGAGACAAGGTCTTGTTATATAGTTGAGGTTGGCCTTGAACTTACCGTGTAGCCCAGGCTGGCCTTGACTTTCAGTGATGTTCCTGCTTTAGCTTCCTGGATGCTAGGATGACAGATGTGCGCCCCCATGCCCAGCTTTATTATCATTTAAGAGGCTCCCTTTTGCGAAAAGATGCAGCTGCCTTCTGTAACGGGCTTGCGGATTTTGAAGCAGCTGAAGGGAACGCTGATGATACTGTGGTGACCAGCCAATGCAGGGACAGTGTGGGCCTGGCAGGCAGACCCCCGGTGTGGTGGCCAAGGTTTTGGGAAGCCTGATTTTACTAGGTCCTCCCAGCTGAAGTTTTCCTCTGCTTCGTCTCACTGCCTGCCCCATATCTGCCGCCCAGTACATAGCTGGGGAGAGCATGGCGAGCCAGTCCAGTCTGAGAGTAGCTGAGGCCCTCTACCCCATGCTCAGCCCTTTCTGCGCTGGTAGAGTGCAGGCATCAGGCCTGGTCCACCTCCCTCCGAAGGTGGGGCCCCTGGGACCCTGGGCTGGCTGCTCCTGAGGGTCCAGCGCTAGGAGCAGGGCTGCAGCACCCATCAGCACCCCTCTTTCTCCGCCTATCTGGACAGACTGGCACGGGCTCTTGATGCTGTGGCTGCCTGGAAAATGGGACAGTGACTGGTGGCCTGAGCTGAATTTGGCGGAGATGGACCTGGGAGGGCTCCTGCAGGCACTGGCTAGTCTTAACGTCATATCGTCACCGGGCCTGCTGTCATTACCCAGCTTTCTGTTGTCAGCTGTGATGCGCCCCTCGTTTTCCGCTTCAGTGTAAACTGGGGGAGGAGAGTGGGTATCTCTCTCCAGGCCTGGGGTGCATGCCTTCATCCCAGCGCTCGGAGGCTGAAGCAGGAGGATTGCAGGTTCAGGGCACCTGAAGACCCTGCCTCAAGAGGTCCTGGTTTGGTTCCTGGTACTGGGAAACAAGTAACCAAGTGTGGGCCTTTCAGGGGGCCATTAGGGCGGACAGGCCACAATGTGCAGCCCCTTTCCTGGAACCTGGGGCCCAGCCAGGCCAGCCCCCTGGGAGAGGCAGCCTCTGGCCCCTCCTGTCTGGCTCACAGACTCCACTCACTACTGTTGCTTCAGGATCTGCGGCGGAAGGCAGCCCGGCTGGTGGCTGCCAAGTGCACTCTGGCTGCCCGCGTGGACAGTTTCCATGAGAGCTCAGAGGGGAAGGTGAGTGTCTGGGAGCACCTTTGACACAGCAGGCAGGGCCTCGGTGGGCCTGGGTGTCTGAATCCCGGGCTGTCGATGGGCAGTGTGGTTTGTTGCTTAAGTATGGAGATACTAGGATTGGGACAGACCGCACAGCTTCCTGTCTGCCTGGGGGCTGCAGCTAAGGTGGAGATACCAGGAGGGATCATCGGGCTTGTCCTGAGCAGAGCTGGGGTGGGGTGGGGGGCTGGGGACAGCCAGGGAGCGGGCAGTCCTAGGAGCCTGCTGTCAGGAGGATTCCCCCCACAGAGGCGGAGTCAGAGCCGAGGTTTGAAGCACGTGAGGCACTGGATGAGAATTGGTCCCCAGCACCCCGGGATAGTGTGTGACGTTGGGCAGCATCCTGCATCTCCTGCTGCCTTCCTAGGTGGGCTACGAGCTCAAAGATGAGATTGAACGCAAGTTTGACAAGTGGCAGGAGCCCCCTCCGGTGAAGCAGGTGAAGCCCCTACCTGCACCCCTCGACGGGCAGCGGAAGAAGCGCGGGGGCCGCAGGTAAGGGCCTGGGGATGTCCCGGGGTTGGCTGGGCCACGGAGAGGTGAGGCCAGCACCCCAGGGGATCCCTCACCCCCCAGGTACCGCAAGATGAAGGAGCGGCTAGGACTGACAGAGATCCGGAAGCAGGCCAACCGCATGAGCTTCGGAGAGGTCAGACCCCTTCTGCAGGCCTCTGCACGCCATAGCCGCCTGCTCAGGGCTGGGGCCATGCCGGCCCAGAACCACCTGTGGGCTGCCCTCACTTGGCTGCCCAGCTGCCCATAGGCCTCTGCGCCCAGGCTCCTCAGCTGGGCCCCAAAGGCCTTGCAGGGTAGTCCCTCCTACCCCAGGGTTCCCCGCTGTGCATGACCCACCACAGGCTGCATGCCCCCTTCCTCACATCAAAGCACTGTCCCCATCTGGTGTCACGGCAGCAGGGCAGCTACCCTGGTGCTGGACACACCACACAGCCCCTCGCAGCCCAGCTCAGCACCCTCTGGGTTCCCTGAGTCCCCAGCACAGAGGTGGGCACACCATAGGCTTCTTGGGGGGTCACCTGAGGCTGCCCAGCCACACCACCTCTGAGTTCTCCTCCCTCAGATAGAGGAGGATGCCTACCAGGAGGACCTGGGCTTCAGTCTGGGCCATCTAGGCAAGTCGGGCAGTGGGCGCGTGCGGCAGACACAGGTGAATGAGGCCACCAAGGCCAGGATCTCTAAGACACTGCAGGTACGGGCCAGGGATTGGCCAGGTGGGGTGCAGGGAGCGATGGGCGCCTGGGGGATTCTGGATCACAGCCCTCTTCCCCCCGCAGCGGACCTTGCAGAAGCAGAGTGTGGTGTATGGCGGGAAGTCCACCATCCGGGACCGCTCCTCGGGGACAGCCTCCAGCGTGGCCTTCACTCCTCTCCAGGTACTACAGCCCCACCACCATGGAGGTAGGGAGCCCCACTCTAGCCCCCAGGGCCCTGGCAGGTGTCTCTTTTCCCCTGCAGTGAAGGTGTAGTGGGACTGGTGTAGGGGCGGGAGCCACTGGACACATGAGGCTCGGGGCAGCTCCCAGCTCTGTGCCTTTAGAGTTGGGGCTATCGGGGGCTTGGGGTTTAGCTCAGCGGCATAAGCGCCTGCCTTGCAAGCAGGCAGTCGTGAGTTCGATCCCTGGTACCGATAAAAATGAAAAAGACCAAAAAATAAAAAAAAAATAGAGTTGGGGCTAGGGCCATGGCCAGGTGACCCAGCTCCAAGCCTCTGGTCACTGCATTCCAGGTAGCTGGGGTGACTATACCTCCTATGCCTCTGTTTACCAGAGGAAATCGAGTCTATCTCCTTGTCAGGATTGGTGAGCTCACATCCGTGGAGCCATCCAGGTCCCAGCAGTGTTCCAGGGCTGGGAAGAAAGTGACAGCAGGAAAGACAAGCCTGGCCCCGTTGGAGGTTATGGGTGGCAGGGGACACAGTGAGTTAGAGGGTGGTGGGTGTCAGACAAACACAAAGAAGGAGACGGTGTCTGTTTTAAAGCAGCCAGGAGGCCTCAGCAAGAAGGTGAGAATTACCACATTGAAGACAGTCTAGCTGAGGTGACACGCTGACATCCCGGCCCTGGGAGGCTGAGGCAGGAAGATCTCAAGGTTCAGCTTAGCCTGGGCAACTTAGCGAGACCTTGTCTCAGAAAACAAAAAAACAAACAAGGGCTGGGGCGTAGCTCAAAGCAAAAGCCCTGGGTTCAATCCCAGTACTGGAAGAAGGAAGGACGAAGGGACTGGCATTTTCACGGTCCCTGGTGTTGCAGTTTGTGTTGGAACTGCAGACAGGACACCTTCCTCTGGGACTCAGCTACCTCCTGGGGCAGCCCCGTGGGCCTGGGCTTCCTTGGATGTGGCTTTCAGTGTCCCCAGGGACTGCCCTGAGACTCCAGCTGCCCCTCCGCTCCTTCCCCTATTACCTGGGTACGGGCCCCTGGAGGGGACAGGGACTTGGAGACTGCAGTGGTCCTCGTGCCTGCCGAACCGAGGGCCACCAAGAGAGCCCAAGGACCGTGGCAGATCACAGTCCTCTTCCTGTCACCTCCTTTTCCCCACCCAGGGCCTGGAGATTGTGAACCCGCAGGCAGCAGAGAAGAAGGTGGCCGAGGCCAACCAGAAGTACTTCTCCAGCATGGCCGAGTTCCTCAAGGTCAAGAGCGAGAAGGGCGGCATCACATCCACCTGAGAGCCTGCCAGGGGGACTGTGCTGGGCAGGGTCCTGCAAAGAGTCGCCCATCTCTGCATCAGTGCTGGCGGGGTACCCTGGGATGAGTGTGTCCCACTCGGGGCAGAGAGGTCTCGTGCTCGTGGCTTTCTAATTTTAACTATGGGACAGGAGATGCCTTCTGTGGCGAGAGTACAATTAAAAGTATGGCCTCTGGTCTGAGGTTTGTCCTGGGGCCTGCTTGTCCTTCCATACCGGTAGGAGCCCCGGCCTTGACCCAGCCCTGCCTGAGCTCTGCAGAATCTCTGTCCTTCGATCCAAGTCCCTAGGGCAGTGGCCACACTTTCCAGCCACCCATAGCCTGCCCATGGAGTGGGGCCTACCGGGAATCCCAATACCCCGAAGGTGATGGTGGTTAAGGGGCCTGAGAAGGGGAGGCAGGGGGACTTCTTGTCTGGTGGGAAGTGATGGCTGTAAAGTTCCTACCAGGTGAGCTGCACACTCACATGCGCATGCACACACACACTGTCCTAGGAAGAGGCCCAGCTGAAGGTGGTCACTCACAGGGCTGGGAAAGTGGGCATCCAGGACATGTCACGGGACTGGGGAAGCTTAAGGAAAATCAGCCCCTGGGCTCCACAAAACTGATCATTCAACTTCTGAGGTTCTGCCCTTTGAGGCAGGGCTTCACTCTAGTTTAGGCTGGCTTCAAACTCACTATGTAGCACAAGGTATCCTTGAACCTGGGGTGACCCTCCTGCCTCAGCCTCCTTGGTGCTGGGATTACAGGTGTGAACCACCACACCCTGCTCAGGACTTCTTAGTTGCTGTACAGTGGGTCTCCGTGGTTTCCTAGTTCTGTCTTTGAGATCTCGTTCTGTTCCCTTTTTTGGGCCTTGAACTGTCAGGGCTGCTTTTTGTCCCAGACTCCTGTTCCAGCTGCAGTCCAGGGCACCACCTTTGTACCACAGCCCCTCGGACTCTCCCAGGGGCTACACACTGATTTCCTCCTTGGCTGGGGCCTGCCAGACTTGATCCTGGTGGCTTTAGGTCTGCAGCTTTGCCCCATCTGCTTATCTGTCTGCCATGCTTTTGCTGCCCCTGAGGCCATTGAGAACTCCGCTTCCCCAGGGCCCAAGTATACTTGGCATCTGCCACTGACAGTGGAGTGGATGTGCGGGGAGCTGTGACTGCCCCAAGGTGGACCTGTGGTGGCAGCCGCAGCAGGGAGGGTAACAGCTGGCTGGCTCTGTACTGAGAGCGCCCAGCTGCCAGGGAGCCTGGGGAAGCAGCAGCCCATTGGAGGGCCCTGGCTCTTCAGGCTTCGGTGTAAGAGGAGGTGGCAGGAGGAAGGCAGTCTGGGCTGGCAGGGTGGCTTTCTCTGGGGAAGGGCATTGTGGCGCGTTCCACTCCAAGCTTGTTGCCTGCTGCTCCACCTTGCACTTTAATAATCCATGCGGTCTCCCCTGAATTTTAACTATTCACTCCTCCCAAGCCTCCATGATTTCATCCTGCAGGTTAATCATGAACTCCTGGCCAGGTCCCCCAGCAGTGAGGCTCAAAACTCAGTGCTTATAGGTGGGCGTGGTGGCACACACCTGTACTCCCCGAAGGCAGGAGGGCTGGGAGACTCTGTCACAAACAAAACGATTCAGTGCTTCAGAATTACCTGGAAGGTTTCTTAAAACAGTCGCTGGGCACCTTTGGATTCTGTTTTGTTAGAATGGGGCTCAAAAGCACGATTGAGACACCCCTGGGGTGGGGTGCTCTGCTGACCAAGGGCCACCCCTTGAGGACCCACAGCGCCCTAGCGCTGCTTGGGTGCAGGGGGCTCCTGGGTAAGCCGCACACTGGTATCATCTCTGGAAACCTCGCTAATGCCTGGCTCCCACGCCAGCACAGGAGTTAGTGTGATGTTGATTCCATGATGCATCCGTGCCTGAGAACCCCACTTTGCACCCCCAGGGCTCCAAGCGTTAAGTGTAGACTAATAGCACACTTCGGAGCTTGTCGGGGCTCCAGAATCACAGTCTACTTTTTTTCGTTTATTCTGAGGTGGCCTCATGAGGTACCCCAGGTTGGGTTTGCACTTGGCATCCTCCTGCCTCACTTCCTGAGGGCTGGGATTACAGGTGTGCAGCGCCCCAGCTGCCTCATCACGTGATTCCGACCGGGACGGTGTAGAGTGAATGGCTCGGGACGTGTTCAAGCTGGCTTCAATTCTGGATTTGCCTTATTCTTTTCCACTTAGCGGTCAGGGCCAAATCGGGTATGCTTTCACTACGTGGCGCTGGCCGGTCCCAGTTCCTGGAAGCGCAGCGCTCAGAAAGCTCCAAGCACAGATCACGTTCGTTCCTCTACTCATGCGCCAACGCCCACTTAGTGCTAAAATCCAGACGGGGGCCTCTAGTGGGCCCCGGCCGCCTCTGCTCCGCACGGGGCCAGCAACTTTCCCAGCTTCCTCCCTTCCTCCACCGGGCAAGCAGAGACACAAGGAGAAAGAAGAGCCTGTTCCGGGACGCCGACACGCCCACCTGGGCGGGGACGCGCCGGACATAGAGGATGCTCTGGAGTCCGCACCTGGCTGCTACAGCCTGGGTCTCGCGCGCTACGCGCAGGTGCCGCCTCCTCGCAGCGCGATTGGTTGAACTGAGATAAGTGACAACGATCAGAGCCAGAGAAGGGGAAAGGGGTGCGCCAGCTTGCCCAGTTCCTCCTCCTTGACCCGGTGGCTGTTTTAATTGGCAGATGACTTCTGCTTGGGGTCCTCCCCTTTGCTTTGAAGGAAGCTGTCTCCCTTTAGATACACTGGCTGTAATTTCCATTCTCCATGCCTTCCTCCGCTTTCCTCACCCACTTTCAAGACCAACCAATGGTTTTAGGGAAGACTGTCCTTTGGAGCCAATTAAAAACAGCTCTAAATTTGACGGACGACTTCCCGCCCCTGATCAGCCTAACTCCTCCCGCCAACCAATTGCTTTAGGAGAAGGGGGCGGGTACAGCCAATCAGCACCACACAGCCCTTTTGATTGACATATGGGTCCTCGCGCTGGCGTGTTGTGCCCCGAGGCAGAAGGAGGAGGTGGAGCGGAGAAAACCTGAGCCAATCCTAGCCGGTTACGATGGAGGCCAATCGAATGCCGCGCCTTGTAGACATTATCCAATCCACTAGAGGGGTTTGGCCACAGCCGTGACAAGAACCAATAAGATGCGCCTTACGGCCAAGAGCGACGTGCGGCAGGAGCAATGATGGGCCTATATTCGGGGGTCGGGGGCGGGTCGGCGCCAGAGACGAGAAGAGCGGAGGGGAGGCTGCCTCCGCCGCCGCCATCTTGGACCGGGCCCGGTCAGCTTCCGCGGAGCCATCGGCCGACGCGACCGCCTCTCCTGAGTCCAGACCCCCGTCGTCAGAACAACCCCGGGCCCACTCCCCCTACCCCACTTCCGCTTCGCGCCGCTATCGCGACAGCGCGTGAGGGCCCGGGGCGCGAGAAAAAGGCGGCAGGCGTTCGCCTCCCCCGCCTGTCGCGATAGCTCCTCAGCGGCGGCGTCAGCTCCTGTGGTGAGAGCGTCAGGCTCGACTGGGCCGGACCCCTTCCCCTCCTGGCGCCGTCTACTGCCCCCGCCCGCCGCCGTCGCGCCCCGGCCTCCCCACCCTTCCCTCGCCACTGCCGCGTGCCCCGCGCCCCCGCGCCCGTACCCGCACTCGGCACCGTCGCCCGAGGGTGCCGCCCCCTCCCTGCACGGTTTGGTGTGCCCTGCTGCCGCCAGGCTCGATCTGTGCTGCAGGAACCCGCACCGCTGCTAGTTGAAGCTGCCGCCAAAGTTGCCGCCGCCGCCGCCGCCGCCGTGTCCCCTGTCCCCGGTCCGCTTCCGGTCAGCGCCTGGTCCCCCGTGGCCGTGGGCTTCCTGGCGGCGTCGTGGCTGGGGCCCGCGCCGGCCGTGCTCGTGCTCTGTGGCAGCCGCCCCTCGGTACTCAGGCTGTCATCTCCTGGGTTCCCTGGCACCTCCTCCCGTCGTCCCCCGTCGCACAGGTTGTCGCCTCCTTGAGTGTCAGCGCGTACGCCAGTCATATCCACGCCTTCTCCGAGGTGTCACCGGTGCCAGGGGTCCCTCATCTCCCGGCAGTGGTGTTCTGCTGGTGATGTGTGCCCGTCCTGTCACCGAGACGTCCGGAGCATGAGCACTTTGCGGCCAGGCCCGCCCTGACCTCCCCTCCACTGACCCCTTGGGGGTGCGAGGCTTCCCCGGTGAAGAGGAGCTTTTCCCGGGGCCCCGCAGGGGCAGGCACCTGTGTAATGTCCCTGGCCTCAGGGGTAAGGTTCCTGCCTCCTTTGGTGTCTGTGTTGGCATTCTTCCTGGGTCGCAGGTGTCCTGTGTTTCCTGTGTGTCCCCAGCGTGTAATCGAGGGGTGTAGGGGCTCTTGACTAAAGCTTCTCAGCCCATCTGTCACCGTAATTTCTCACGGTGTGAGACTAAGAGGAAGGCCCCTTATGGGCAGTGTGGGGTGCCTGAGACGCAGAAGGGATCCCACTTTGGCCACCTTCCCTGGGGTGTGTGTGACTCCAGGATGGGGTTTGCGGCCCTCAGCCTTGGTGATGGGCAGCTCCAGGAGAGGTAATTGCCTCTGCCCAGTCCTAACACAGCAGTCCCCTGACCTGCTGACCCTGCGTCTGGCAGCATGGGTGGCCCCCTACAGGTCAAAGCATCACTTCCAGCACTGCTCTCTGGAGCTCTATCTGGAGCAGGAGCTGCCCAGAGGGTCCAGGGCCCTCCTGTGGACACCCAGCAGCCCCCTTGCTGAGTCGTCTCTAAGTATGCCACCTGTCCCGGGTAGTGGAGTTCTGTGGGCTCTTTGCTGTTGCTGGCTTCTGTGGAACTGCTTGCTGCACTACCGCTTGCCCTGTTATTGTGCACTCTGGCTGGGTAATGCATGCTGACTTACCTCTGGTTGTGGGTCTTCATAGGTGAGCCTCCTGGCCAGGGTTACCCCATCTGCTGGTTGGGCTCCCTTGCTGTCCAGGCACTCTTTCTCTTGGGCAGTGGCACCCATCTCCTGTGGGGCTCGGCAGTGTCCTGGACAGACAGAGCTCCTGTGGTGGAATCTCCACTTCGAGATGGCAGCGCCAAACACTACTCTCTGCCTCTGCTAGGGGGCTAAGGTGCTGGTGCCCTCTCCTTGTGGAATGTTTTTGGTGCTAGGGCTGTTCTTCTTAGGTTCCTGGGGTGCTTGGCCTCTCTGTGCAGCTGTGGGTTTTCCCATCAGGAATCTCTGTGCCAGTCACAGCTGTGGCCACCTCAGTGTTTGAAGCATTGCTCCATGGGTCCTCCATGCTCTGTGGCACTTGTAGCTGACTCCTTTATAGAGTTCTTGCTGCCACAGTGTGGTCCCCTTCCCAGTGCTAGCATCCCAGGCTCTGTAGGATGGGGATTGCTGAAGGCATCCCCTCCCAGGCTGAGGGATGTGGACTGAGGGTTGTCTCTTGGCTGGGAGCGGGAGGTTAAACCTCTGGCCTGATGGAGAAAGTGGTGTCCTGTGTCGTTGTGGTCCCTGCACTCCTCATCCTGGTATACAAGCCCTTCTCTGTGATTCCAGGGGGCACCCAGGCCAACCCATTGTAGTGCTCTGTGGAACTGTCTTCTGGTCCTGGCTGCTTGCTGTCCCCCTGGAGATGCCCGTGCATGACGTGCCCACTGCCTAAGGGTGTTGCTCTTGGTCTCAGTGGGCTCCATATTGAGGGGCTCTGAGCCCCCAAGCCGTGAACTGCCTCTGCCTGGCATGCAGCCTCGTGCCCCATTGTCCAGGCCTTCTGTTCCATGCCGTGTAGTAGCTGCTGGCCATGTGCGGCAATAAGAAGTTAAAGTGAATAGGGAAACACTCAGCTTTATAGCATTTTGCTCATCGAGCAGCAGTGACCTGTGGCCCATTTCCCAAAGGGACTGCGCCGTGTGGGTTTCCACCCTCCCCACAAGGGCCATCTTGCTTGTCTGCCCCCGCTTCAGGGCCTGAGTCCCCAGTGCGGAGGGCCCTGTTTTGTGGTGGGGGCCAGCCTAGGTGCCCCTCCTTGCCAGCAGGTGCCCCGACCGCAGAGCCTGCTTCTCAGTGTGCAGCTTCTGCCCAGCTCGGAAGCCTCAGCACAGCGCTGCCTCCATCCCTGTCCTGGGGTCCCAGTGCCAGGCCCTGCCGTGTGGCTCCTGTGAGCCCTCAAGCCTCTCCAGGTTGCAGCTTCCTTTAGGGAAAGGGGCTTTGGGCATCTACCCCGTTGGTTTAGGTTTCTGTGGAGTGTAAACGGTAAGCACATTTGATCAGGAGTTCTTCTATGTGCAGCCCATAGCTGGGGTACTGTTCAGCTTCTTATCTTTGAGAGATTCACTTTTTCTATCCATCTTCTCTGAGGACTGCTGCTTGCCGGCATCTCTATCTCTCCTGGGGCTCCGGCTCTTGGAGGTAGGAGTGTGGTCTCCTTTTGGTTCTGGGCTTCTGTAGTGGCCTGTACTTTGAGGTCCAGGACCCTCTTGTGAGGTCCCTGTGTGGCTCGGCCTATGCTGTCCTGGGTGCTGCGCTCTCCCTACCTGACTGCCCCCGGGGGTCCTTGTGTGGGTGCCATGTGTCTTCTGGCATGTCGCAGGAGTGACTAGGTCACCTGTCCTGCCCGAAAACACCTTCAGTGTCACCTGGGGGAGGCTTTGCATCTCCTGGGGCAGAGCCTGCACACAGCATCTCATCCCCTGTGGAAATCCAGCACGCTCCTGGTTCCCTCTGTGGTTGCTGTCCACCATCCCCACTGCCACTGAGCCACACCCTGTGTGAGTCGGGCTGACTGGGGAAGGGGCATCAAGTAGTTGCATTCTCTTTCTCCAGTAGAGCAGCTGAGCCACGAGAGTATGAGGAGAGCGCGTCCATAGGGCAGGGAAGATGGCAGACAAGCGCAAACTCCAAGGTGAGGGGGTGAAGATGGGATGGGGATGGAGAGAAGACAAGAAGGGGCGGGAGCCGCCATGCGCATGTGCTCGGTCAGCCAGGGCAGAACCCTGACCGCTGCCTCCTTCCCGGGCCAGGTGAGATTGATCGCTGCCTGAAGAAGGTGTCTGAGGGTGTGGAGCAGTTTGAAGACATTTGGCAGAAGGTGCGGTGGCTGGTGGCCTTGAGGTCTGGGTGTCTGGGGAGAACCCAGGAAGTGGTGTTGAGCTGGGGAAAGGGCTGCTTGTCCTGGTGTTGAGGACCTAGGAGGGGCACCTCTAAGATAGAGGGACTGGGCCTGGGGGTCCCTGAATCCCAGCCTGGGGAAGAAGAGGGCTAGACTTTCCTGCCCACACTGACTGCTGACTCCTCCATCCCTCAGCTCCACAATGCAGCCAATGCGAACCAGAAAGAAAAGTATGAGGCCGACCTAAAGAAGGAGATTAAGAAGCTACAAGTGAGGGGCCTGGGGCTGGACACCTGCGTCCTGTGGGTTGAGGGCCTGGGAGTGGGGACTGCTGGGTCCCAGGGAGAGGAGGGAGCCAGAGCCCAGTTCTGGGGTCCAGAGTCTGAAGTCCTGTCACCTGCAGCGGCTGAGGGACCAGATCAAGACATGGGTGGCCTCCAACGAGATCAAGGACAAGCGGCAGTTGATTGACAACCGCAAGCTCATTGAGACGGTAGGAGTGTGGAGCTGGGGTGGGGTTGGGAAGCGGCCACACAGGTTGTCGTGTGGACCAGGGGGCAGGGGCAGTGGCCCTGGGGCGGTGTCCCTGAGCCTCAGTCCAAGTGTCGCTGCCCTTAGTCAGCTTCTTTCCCGCCCTCAAGAGTCCCCTGCCAACTGCACTCTCCACAGCAAATGGAGCGGTTCAAGGTTGTGGAGCGAGAGACCAAAACCAAGGCGTACAGCAAGGAGGGTCTGGGCCTGGCCCAGAAGGTGGACCCTGCCCAGAAGGAGAAAGAGGAAGTCGGCCAGTGGCTCACAGTGAGCGAGGCTGGGAGAATCGAGGAGTGTGGGCCTGGCTGGGCGTGTGTAGAGCCCTGGCTGACAGTACGCCCTTGCTCCCCCAGAACACCATCGACACCCTAAACATGCAGGTGGACCAGTTTGAGAGTGAGGTGGAGTCCCTGTCGGTGCAGACACGCAAGAAGAAGGGTGACAAGGATGTGAGTGGGGGGAGCCCCCTCCTTCAGGTGGGGCTGGGCTGGCCTTTGGGCTGGAGAGGCAGGCAGTGCTGAGCCCAGGCAGTGGAGCCATCATAAGAAGGGTGCAGTGGGTAAAGATGAACTTGGGTTCCGTGGGGTGACAGATTGAGGTCTTGAGGGACAGCCAGGCCAGGAGGCCACGCAGTGCCTGGAGCACCCCGGGTTCCCAAGGAGGGCAAGTGGGGTGAGGGTGCCAGGTGGGTGGTGTGTTCTGCAGACAGGCTGCAGGAGCGGTGGGTCCCAGCCCTTGTTTCGCAGGGAATGAGCTCAGAGTGATTTAGACCCTGCTCAGCAGGGTTCTGGGGAGCAGGGGCCGAGATGGTGGGGTGGGGGGAAGCAGAACTTGCTGGAGTTGTGTCGGCCTACATGGATGACAGTGGGTTCCCAAAGAGAGGAGAGATTTGGCGCGGAGGCTGAGGGGTCTAGTATTAAGGCTTGGGGCTTGGAGGGGTACAGCAGCCAGGCTTCTGCATTTGGGCTTCCTGGGTGGGAACAGGCGTGGGTCAGCAATGACGGGTTGTCTTGGGTTATCATGGCTGTGAACTGCCAGCTCTCCCAGCTGGGGACTGCTGTTACTCCTGTTGCAGCAGGACGGGTGGGGAACAGGATCTGCAAGCCAGGAGAAGGTTGGAGCAAGTGGGGTGGCCCTGTGGGGGGAGGTACAGATAGCAGCTGAGTGTGGTGGCGTAGAAAGCCCAGGGTTTTTCAGTTTTCTGCAGTCTGCAGAGCTGCAGGATCGGGGGCAGGAGTGATGGGACCCACACTGGGGTTGGGGATGGGGGGAAAGGGACTCCACACTACACTGTGTGGGTTGAGGGAGCTGGACTGGGGCCGAGGACTGTGCTCCACAGCCCTGAGCCTGGCCTGGGCTCACCAGCAGAAGCAGGACCGGATCGAGGGCTTGAAGAGGCACATTGAGAAGCACCGCTACCACGTGCGCATGCTGGAGACCATCCTGCGCATGCTGGACAATGACTCTATCCTGGTGGATGCCATCCGCAAAATCAAGGATGACGTGGAGTACTACGTCGACTCGTCCCAGGACCCCGACTTCGAGGAGAACGAGTTCCTCTACGATGACCTGGACCTCGAGGACATTCGTGAGGCCCTGGGCTGCCTGTCGCTGTGCCAGGTGGGAGCCGGGAGGGGCTGTGGCCTTGCTAAGCATACTCTTCCTTGCCCCCACAGCACAGGCGCTGGTCGCCACCTCCCCACCAAGCCACAGCCACATGGAGGACGAGATCTTCAATCAGTCCAGCAGCACGCCCACCTCCACTACGTCCAGCTCACCCATCCCACCAAGCCCGGCCAACTGCACAACGGTGAGGGTGCTTGGGCGCAGCTGGGTCCTTCTTCTGGGGTGCACTGGGACTGACCTGGCACCACCCCAGGGCCTTGGGTGTGGAGCAGCAGCACTGGTGTGGGCCTGCGTCCCCCTGTGGGATGGGGGCTTTAGGTGTCTGGGGGAGGGAAGCCAGCTGTTTGGCTGGCTGCAGGGCATGAGGTCAGCCAGCCAGGCACTGCCCCGGAGGGTTTAGAGATTGGTGTCTGGGTGGGCCCGGAGGCCACAGGGTGTCTGACTCCACCTGCTGTATTGCAGGAGAACTCGGAGGACGATAAGAAGAGGGGACGCTCCACAGACAGTGAAGTCAGCCAGGTGTGTGTGCATGCCCAGTGGCCTGGTGCTTGTGGGCAGGCGCTCAGGAGTGGCAGGGAAGTGCAGCACGCAGTACCCACCAGAGTTCCCTCGGCCCCAGCTGGCCTTGCTGCCCTTGCCTGCCTCTGCCTGGGTCCAGGAGCAGGCTGAGGTGGGCTGCTGGGGTCCCCTGCAGGAAGGGGTGAGGCTGGGTGAGACCCCCTGGCTTGGCTTGGCCCTGGCCCTCTAGGAGTGAGGCCCTGGGTGCTGGTTAGGCTGGGGGCTCGGGCATGAGTTGGCCACCACTTGCTGGTGTGCAGTGAGTGCTTTAGTGGCTCTCTGAGGGACATTCTGCAGCGCTGCCCAGCTGCTGACTGTGTCCGCTCTACTGTAGCATGGGGCTGCTCCAGCAAGTCCCACTCGGGGCCGTGGAGGAGATGCCAGTTGGCATGTGGGGATCGGGCAGGTGGGATGGGGAAGCCCCCAGAGGCAGTAACAGAGTCTGAGGAGGGGCCCTTGTGACTCAGGGAGACTGCAAGTGCTTAGGGGCCGGCCCACCCACCCAGTTGTGACTTCTGTTCTCTTCCTTGTAGTCACCAGCCAAAAATGGCTCCAAGCCTGTCCACAGCAGCCAGCACCCCCAGTCCCCAGCCGTGCCACCCACGTACCCTTCGGGGCCCCTGCCTGCCACCTCTGCCTTGAGCACCACCACTGGCAACAATGGGGCCCCTGCTTCCACAGCAACACCAAGTGCCCTGGGCCCCAAGGCCAGCCCAGCTCCTGGCCACAGTTCAGGCACCCCGGCCCCATATGCTCAGGCTGTGGCCCCACCTGCCGCCAGCGGACCCAGCACTGCCCAGCCCCGGCCCCCCAGCACCCAGCCGGGTGGTGGGAGTGGCGGGGGCGCCGGAGGGAGCGGCAGCAGCAGTGGCAGCGGCGGGGGTGGTGGGGCCGGCAAGCAGAACGGCGCCACTAGTAAGTGGGGTCGGCGGGGGCTGGGCCTTGGGTGGGCTGGGCAGCCAGCCGCCCTGCCACACGCCCTTCCCTCCCAGGTTACAGTTCTGTTGTGGCAGATAGCCCCGCAGAGGTGGCCCTAAGCAGCAGCTCGGGCAGCAGCACCAGCAGCCAGGCCCTGGGCCCCTCCTCAGGCCCGCACAACCCACCTCCCAGCACCACGTGAGTGTTCCTGCCAGCCGCAGGCTGTCCTGTGGGGTGCCGCCATGGGGCCCCTGGTATTGTGTCTGATGCTGTGCTGTCACCTCTAACCTAGGATAGGTGTACGGTGGCCTCTAGCCTGGCCTTGGTCTGTTCATGACAGGGTTTTACTGTGTGGCCCAGACTAGCCTAGAACTTGTGACCCTCGGGCCCCAGGGCTGGGGTTACAGGCATGCCCGGCCTGCCTTGCCCTCCAGGGTGTTCTTCTCTGGGCTTCACTGCTGTCAGCCCTGCCTTTGACCCTGACACCCACTGCAGCAGCCACTGCTCTGTTTCCTAAGGGGAGCTTTCCTAGCTGCCCCTGCCTTGGGCAGGAGCTCCACTGGCCCACTGTTGAGTGTCTTATGGAAAACCCACTGCCTGGGGTGCTCACCCCAGCCCTTGCTGGGCCACCTGGCCAGGGCCACCTGTTCTGGGATTGGAACCTCCCTCCTAGACCCCGTTGTTTTCTCTTTGTTTTGCTCTTTGTGTTTTGAGGCAGGGTCTCACTCACTACGTGGTTCAAGCTGACTTTAGTCTCAGTGTGTAGCTCAGGTTGGGCTGGGACTCCAGCTTTCCTGCCTCAGCCTCCTTCATGCAGCCAGGGCTGCAGCCTCATGCCCTGCTCTCTACCATGACTGACACCCCATGTCCAGCGTTGGTCAGCCTGTGGCTGTTGGGCCACCTTGAGGCTCTCTCCCTGTAGGGACTGCTTCTCCAGCTGCCTGCCCCAGCTGCCCTTCAGAGCCCTGTCCGCTGCCATCTGCCTTCCTGATCTCTCCTAAGCGTTCCTCCTCTTCCCGCCAGGAAGGAGCCCAGTGCAGCTGCCCCGACGGGGGCTGGGGGTGTGGCCCCCGGCTCAGGGAACAACTCTGGGGGTCCCAGCCTCCTGGTGCCACTGCCTGTGAACCCCCCCAGCTCTCCAACACCCAGCTTCAGTGAGGGCAAGGCGGCTGGGGCCCTGCTCAATGGGCCCCCGCAGTTCAGCAGTGCCCCAGAGATCAAGGTGAGTGCCCCTCACCCCCGACTCTGGGTCTTGACTTCTCCAGCTCTGCCATGTCCTCTGCAGGTCCGCTGTGTGTCCCACATCCTCAGCGTGGTCCCTGGCACACTGAGCTATTCATTTGGGGGTGCCTTCCCTTCCTTCCCTCAGTCAAGCCTGTGCATGACGGGTCCTTCCTGGATGTGGCTCTGTCTGCCCTGGCCGGGTCCTGGACTAGTCTCTGTCCTTATTTCCGCACTGACCCATGCTGTCCCCAGCTCACCCAGTGCCGCTCATTCTGAGGCTGTGAGGGCAGCTGCTGGGCCAAAGACAGGTCCACCATGGCCTGGGGCCAGGCTGAGCGCAAGTCCGGGCTGTCTGGCCTGAAGTCCTGGTGTGGCTGGATCTGTAGGTCCTTTCTGTCCTTGTGCAGTCCTGGGACAGTCCTGCCTAGGAGTGGGTGGGCTGCAGAGGCTCTGGGGATATAGTGTGTGCTGGGGGGGTGGGGAGAGGGGAATGCGGCAGAGCTTGGGTATGCCAGCTGAGGAGCCACCCTTTCCACAGGACTCTGTGGGGGCGGAGAGTGTGGGTAGAGTACCAAGTGAAGGGAAAGAGCGCTCTGCAGTGCTCCCCACAGGTGGTGCCAGGCTGGGCTGAGGGGATGCTCCAGGAGGGTGAGTCCTGCCTGTAGCTGCAGCAGGTGCCACTCCAATGCGTGTGACCATGGGATCAGTACTGGGCTATATAGCCCAGACTGGGGGACAGTGTCACTTCAGTCCCTTAGGGAGGTCTCCTGTGTGGGCGTGCTGGACACCCTTCCAGGAGGAGGTGTGTGCCTTGTCCTTCCGTGTCCTCCCCTCAGTGTGCCATAGATCCTCTCCAGGATCCATGTCTACACCCACACTTGGGGGGGTGTCCAGGGCTCCTGTAGCCTGCAGTCCGCGCCTCTGCCCAGCCGTCAATGTGCCCCTTGCCCTGCAGGCCCCTGAGCCCCTGAGCTCCCTAAAGTCCATGGCTGAGCGTGCAGCCATCAGTTCAGGCATTGAGGACCCTGTGCCAACGCTCCACCTGACTGATCGAGGTGAGGGTCCCTCAGGGCACAGGGGGCAGGGAGTGAGGAGCCAGGGTACTGCCCTCACCCACCCCGCTGCACTGCCTGCCCCACAGACATCATCCTGAGCAGCACCTCGGCGCCCCCTGCCTCGACGCAGCCGCCCCTGCAGCTGTCGGAGGTGAACATCCCGCTGTCGCTGGGTGTGTGCCCGCTGGGCCCGGTGCCCCTCACCAAGGAGCAGCTCTACCAACAGGCCATGGAGGAGGCCGCCTGGCACCACATGCCCCACCCCTCCGACTCGGAGCGCATACGGTGAGAAGGCAGTGGGAGTGGGGGGAGGGTTAGGCTGCCTCCCGGATCCCCGGAGATGAGGTGGTGCACCCCTGCTGTCCCAGCTTCCTGGGAGGTGGACAGGACACGCATAGCCCAAGCACTCAGCAAGACCCTGCCTCGGGGTAGACAGGTTTGGGGTGTAGTTCAGCATCCTTGTGTTCAGTGCTGTAGAGGAGACTGAAGCTGAGGGCCCAGCTGGGACTTGCTGCTCAGGGTTCTGGGCCAAGCGGAGCCAGAAGGCAGTGGCACTGACCCCTGGTCCTCCACAGGCAGTACCTGCCCCGGAACCCCTGCCCGACGCCCCCCTACCACCACCAGATGCCGCCCCCGCACTCGGACACTGTGGAGTTCTACCAGCGCCTGTCCACCGAGACGCTCTTCTTTATCTTCTACTATCTGGAGGTACAGCAGGGCCCCCGGGAAGCCTCGGGGCCCCCAGCTCTGCCGCCACTGCCGCCGTACCCCCTCGGGCTGGAGGGGTGAGGTGGGTGCCCTGCTGCGGCTACTGGGACCGCACCCCTTCCCCACCCTGACCCTGGCCCCCACCTGTTCTGGTCCCCAGCTTGCCCTGTGGTGTTCCAGCTGTTCAGGCTGAGGGTTTACTTGCTATCACCTCTCCTCAGCAGGGCAGGGCCCCTGGAGGCCTCTGCCCCCCTGAGCCCAGACCGCCCCCTCCCCGCCTGAGATGTCCCCCCACATTGCCCACCTGCCTCTTGGTGGGCTGTAGTCTCTGCCTTCACAAAGCTTCTGTGAAAGCAATTTCCACCTCGCCTCATTCTGCTGACCGGCATGGATATGTGTGGCGCCCTGTGCTGTGGCCCGCAGCCCTTCAGCAGCCTGGCCTGTGTCCCACCCTACCCCCAGCGGTGCTGTGGTTTGGGGGCCCCCTGACCCCTTCTGCACTTGGTCCACAGGGCACTAAGGCGCAGTATCTGGCGGCCAAGGCCCTGAAGAAGCAGTCCTGGCGGTTCCACACCAAGTACATGATGTGGTTCCAAAGGCATGAGGAACCCAAGACCATCACCGACGAGTTCGAGCAGGTGAGGACCCTCCATCATCTCTGGCTCCTGCTGGGCAGGGCTGCTTGGCCACCAGAGGGGGCTTTGTGGCCCCTTCCCGGTCCCCACACCTGGTTTTTGCCCAGCTCTGGTGGGGCCTGCCTTCTCCATGGGGTTGCCAGCTACATCCACCATGTAGGTATTCATGGTGCTGCCCCAGAGCCACCACAGGTGTCCCTAGCTCTGCTCTGCTCACATGCAGTTGCTGTGTCCAGTGGCTTCGAGGTTCCCAGCTGCAGGTTCCCTCCTTGTCCTTGTGCCCTGTTTGGCTACTCCTTGGAAGCATTTTGCATACCCTAGGCCTGGGGATCTCCCTCCCAAGGCCTCAGCCTGACCCCAGGCTGCCTGTCCTGTGCTGGCTCAGGCCCCTGCTTACCCTGACATCCAGGCTGCACCGTCACAGTGGTATTCCCCCTTTGGGGTGCCTGCTCAGGCTCCAACAGCCATGGGGATGTGCAGTGCCCTGGCGGGGCACCCCCTCGGAAAGTCCTGGCCTGCTGCACACCCCGCTGACCGCCCGCCTTCTCCCTGGCCAGGGCACCTACATCTACTTTGACTATGAGAAGTGGGGCCAGCGGAAGAAGGAGGGCTTCACCTTCGAGTACCGCTACCTGGAGGACCGGGACCTCCAGTGACCCTGGCCTCCCCTACGCTCCCCGCATGCTGATACCCCTGCCCCGAGCCTGTGGCCCAGGCCTCCGCCTTCACCCCTCCCCAGGACGCAGGGAGGAGCCGGGAGGTCCTCCCAGCCCCACCTTGGGGCCCGGGGCGAGGGCTGCCCCTTCCCCTCCCCAGTGAGGGACTTTTTTGGTAAACCTATTTTCATTTTGGAAAATATTTATGAATAAATAGTTTTATATGATGGCTGGCTGTGGCAGCCTCTGCTGTTACCCTGGGGGTCAGCGTGCAGGAGGGGTGTCCTGCCGGCGGGGGCGTCGTGCCAGCTGGGGGTTGAACTGTGAGTTGTATCGCCGGTGCCGGTCGTCAGTCTCCTCAGGCTCACCTTCCTGGGGCATACATCCCTGGGCCTTGGCCAGTAGGGCCTCTGCACGGGCCCTCTCTGCTGCTTCCCGCCGGAGGCGCTCAGCTCGGAGCTGGTCCAGCGATGGGGGCCTGTGGGGGAGCAGGGTCAGTGTCTGTAGCAGGCTGACTCTGGATGGAGGTTCTCTGTGCCCCTTCTCGTCACCCCTGCTCCCCAAGGCCCTGCTTCCCCTTCTTTTCTCTATGGTGCCAGGAGTTGAACCCAGGGCCCTGTACATCCTGGCTCTTCTTAAAGATTTTGTTTTAGATTTTTTTGAGACAAGTCACAAACTTGCTGGGGCTGGGCTCAAACCGTGATCTTCCTGCCCAGCCTCCTGCATGCTGGGACTCAAGGCCTGTGCCAGGACTCAGCAATACTCTAAAAAATCAAGGCTGTCAAAGCCTTTTAAGTAGATTGTCTTGACACAGTGGCTTAGAAATGGAAATAGGCCATCTCCCCAGAACCCTAAGCTTCCCGGCAGTGCTGGGGACCCTGGCCCACCCCGCCTGTTGGGGAGCCCGACCCACTAAGGGTGAGGCCTTGGTGCTTACCCCTTGGGCCGCAGTGACTCCTTCCGCTCCTTCTGCACTGGGCCGCCCCCCTCCCCACTGTGCGTCCTCTTCCTCCGCAAATGCTTCTGCATCTCCCGCATGGGGTCTAGGCGGCTCTTGATCTTCTCGTCTGGGGCCTGCTCTGGCTGGGGGGCCCCTCGCTGTGGGGGGAGCTGGTACCAGGGGGGCTGTGTCTGTGCCTCTGCGGCGCTCTGGCCCAGATAGGTAAGGATGCCCAGCGCTTTCTCCTGCCTCTCCTGCGGGACGGACATGAGGTGGAGCCCTCTTGGTGGCTAAGAGTGGATACCAACCAGAAACTGGACTCCCAGGATTGGCACCTGAGCTGTGCATTGCTGCCCTGGGCACACACTGAAGAACACGGACAGCAGAGGAAAGAGGGATGGCCCAGGGGCCAGAAGCCAGCCCAGGCTGATGGGGAATGCCAGGGAGCAGGGGTGGTAGGCCCTGATTCCTGCAGCACGGAGCTCAAGGTTTGCCTCCAGCAGGTCAGCAACTGGGGGCAGAGGGCACTGAGGTCTCACTAACCCACTTCACTTCTGGGACTGGGCTGCCCGCTGGGCATGTGCGATTTATCTTCACAGCGTAGGCAGAGCCCACATGGTGGCCTTCCCATTCTACTCTCAAGGCTGAGGCCAGCTTACTTTCTCCTGCCGCTTTTCTTCCTCGTACTCTTTGTTTCCAGTGGTCACCCCCTTGCCTTCCACCAGCAGCTCCCGAAGCAGGTTCACTGGACCAGAATCTGGAGCTCCAGGCTCTGCGATGTCCAGTGCAGGCAGCGCATTCTGCTGTCTGGCTTTCTTCCGTAGGAATTCTGTGCGGGCCTGGGGAGGGCAAAGGCAGTTAGAGGCAGAGCGTTTAGAATCTTGAAATAATTCAGGGAAGTGTCAGTCTGATGTCGACTGTGAATAGCACAGCAGCCACCATGCTGGGGTCATGGGCACCCAGAAGAGGCACCTGTTCCAGCATGGGGGGAGAAAGGGCATCTAAACAGAACACTATGGGTCATCAAGGATCCGCTGCAAGCCCTGGTGGCGCACGCCTGTAACTGCAGGCAGGAGAACCAGGAGTTTGGGGCCAGTCTGAGCTACATAGCAAGACCAAGTCTCAAAAGAAAAGGTTGGCTAGGAAATCCGTGGCTGAAACAGGAGGGGTCCCCTGCTAGGTACAGGAGAGGCCCCGCGTCAGATCCCCTGGATCAAAATAAAAGACAAGGCACATAAAGGCTGATAAATGCCTTTCAGGCAGATGATCTGAATTTCAGGAGTCCGAGGTGATTAACAATCTATGATAAATGTTTCTTTTAAATTTGCTCTTCAGAGTTATATGCAAATAACGGGTTGATAAGGTGATTTTAAAAACGGTAGGCTGGCCGGGCACACGCCTGTAATCCCAGCACCAAAGAGGCTGAGGCAGAGGATCACTGCGAGTTCGGTCAGTCTGGTCTACAAAGTGAGTTCAAGGCCAGCCTAAACAGCATGGTGAGACCCTGTTTCAAAAAGGCAAAAATAGGGGCTGGGGATTTAGCTCAGTGGCATAAGTGCCTGCCTTGTAAGCAGGCAGTCGTGAGTTCCATCTCAGGTACCGATAAAAAGGAAAAAGATACCAAAAAAAAAAAAAAAAAAAGGCAAAAATAAAACAAAAAAATCCAGGTGACTGTTGAGCCGCTGTTCAGGATTGGATTAACTGAGGAAGACCTTGCGGGGTGGACAATGCAAACCAAACGGATAAAGGAGCTGTAAAGAAACCCCCGGGGAGTGAGCGCTTTGGCGCAAGGCGGGGAGGCTGAGCCCCCTCAACCTCCCGGAGCCTCCCATCTGAAGCCATCGCGCATGCCCGTGCGACAGGACAGCGCCTATGTAGCAGCGTGCGGAGCCCGGGAGGGCTTTCTCGAGTCTCCGGGGCTCAGGACACTGGCGACGCAGGCAGACTAGTCAGAGCCCCTTGGGCCTTGCACACGCCCACGGGGAACCTAGGCCATGATCTTGACCAGGACCACACCCACCGAGGCCTCGGGGGCGGGGCCGGGCTACCGCAGCAACGCCCTGCGCGACGCGGCCACATTGAGCCTGCGCAGCGTCCACTTCCGGCTCCCGCCCGCAGCGTCGGTGTGACTGACGGCGGGAGCTCGGCACGGCAGGAATCGGCGCTTACCTCTTGCTCAGCAAGCAGCACCCTGCGTTCGCGCTCCTTCTCTTCCTCCCGGGCCTGCGCCTCGTCACGGCGTACGCGAGCGACATTGTCCTTGTTTCGGACATGCCAGCTCTTCTTTGGCAAGATGTTCATGGCGCCGTAGCCGTCCACAGACTGTCAGGCCCGCCTTCAAGCGCTTCCTATTGGGCAGATGTCCCCGCCCTGTTGCTCTTGTCTCAGCCACGGATTGGCTTTGGGCTAATTAGTACACGCCCTCGTTTTGCAGCGAGACATGATTGGCTGAGGCTCCCGCAGTATCCCCAGAGCCAGCCCGTGTATATTGCCTAGCAACCGTTCAGGTTGAGTCCCTCACAAGTGGCTCCACCCCGGTGCCGCCAGGTGCGACCACCGATTGGCTGACATTCAAGCCACGCCCTTCTGTTGCAAGAGCGGTTCACACTTTTCAGATTCCAAAAAGGGCTCAGCAGATTTGGTATGTTTATTGATAAAAGAGGTTCAACAGACAGGCACTTGAGAGAGGAGATCCTGTAAGTCTCCGCATCCCAGGCTGAGACGGCGTCGTTATTTTCTATGAGACCTAACCGAGGGTTCCAAGGGTCCGACAGCAGTGTGAGGCTGAGGGCGTCTTCCCGAGCCGGCTGCTCACAGAGTCCCGCTCTGTGAGCCCAGGGCCACGGCGCGCTGAGCCAGGAAGACTTTGTTCCGCGACTCCTGCGGCGGAGATAGAGGTGAGGGGTGCCCTCTCCCGCACACGTCTATTCCGAGTCCCCGGAAGCCCTGAGCGGAGACCACCCTGGCTCACCATCTCTATCTGGCGTCTGAGCTCAGAGATAAGGCGCCCGTAGGAATTGGCCAGAGCCACGGTATAAGCCATCAGGATGCTGTGGAGCACGGATGGAAGCCATGCAGAGATGCTTTAAATTATCTTCAACCATGGCTCCGTAGAAACCAGAGCCGGACGCCCAGAGCCCTCCTCCTGCAGCCTCAAGAGTCCCGACTCGCAGCCCCTTCTCCCTTGGACTCGGGATCCATGCCTAACCCCCTCCACTCCTAGACACAGATCACACATTCAGACCCCCGGAGTCTGGGCCCTGGCACCTGGAGATTAACAGAAGTGGCACTGCAAAAGCCTGAGTGCCCAGGAAGAAGAAGAAGTTCTGGGCGGTCTGAGGCAAGGTCTCGATGGACTCAGGGATCTGGGCCCAGATGGATTCCTTCCCCCGGAATGGGCCACACACTTTGGAAGGCTGGATTCTGTAGGCAGAGACAGGCTGGGCTCTGGCAGACAGGCGTCTTTGTCCGGCTGAGGGCGAGGAAGGGAGGGAGGCCGGAGCCGCCCGCACTTACAGGAAGATACTGTAGAGCACGGGGATGGCGGACAGGAACAGCCCCACGAGAAGGACCAGGGGAAAGAAGAAGTTCGCCATAGAGGCCCGGAAAGTGCGGGCGGCCGGGGAGCAGGTGGCAAACAGAGTAAGCTGGCGGGAGGGTGACAAAAGTGCGTCTGAAACCCAGCTCTCCTGGGTCCGCACTCCTCAGTCCAGGAGTCCGAGTCGTCCCTCAGACAAGACCGAGGAATCTGGGCCCCATGGTTCAGAACCCAGGCTCTGCTCCCAGCTCGGTCCTCCCAGGGGCCCCACGAACCTCCTCTCGTGGCCCAGGAATGCAGGCTCCTCACCCCTCACCTTCTTCAGATAGAAAAGCAGCAGGAACTTGGCCGTGTTGAGCAGGGGCAGCAAAGGGCAGAAAAAGCTGCCCACCCACACCACCGTCTGAGCGTAGATAAGCCCCAGTACCTCGTCGGGCACCTGGAATTCCAGCGTCCCAGCCCAGCGCCCCAGCGCCCCGGGACACAGACCGCAGAGTATCCTAAGGAGCGAGGGGGACAGAGTCGGAGACTTGCCCGCCTTGATTCCCCGCTAGGCCCGCCGCGCCAGGAGACCCAGGATGGTAGAGGAGGGGTCAGAGGCAGTAGGGGGCGTGGCCTGAAGGCCCAGGGTGCTGATTGGGGGACTGCAGGAGGAGGTGGAAAGAGGGGCGTGGTAAAACGGAGCGCTGCCGGGAGGGGGTTCTCACTTGCGAGGAAACTGGACAAACAGCGCGATGGCCAGGCTGGTGAGCAGATCGAAGAGCAGGAGTTTGTACATCTCCTGGCCCACCCTCGTCTCCCAGCACTGAGGAAGCCGGGAATGGATCCGTGAGACCTCAGGACCGCGTACCTGGAGGCGCTGTGCGTCCCGCACCCCACGCTCCGGGCCCGAGACTCGGCCCCTTGCAGCTCCTGCCCACCCACCCCGGTCCTGCGTCCAGCCCCATCGGCGCCCGGCTGCAGACCCACCGGGAGCTCTCTGTAGTTATAGCCACAGTCTTTGCACGCCTCGGCTTGGGCGTTACCCCCGCAGGTGATCTGAGACCAGAGTGAGAAAAGCAGGACCAGCAGGGAGATGAGGCGCAGGAACACCGTCCTGAAAGGAGGCAGAGGAGGGGGGTCACACCGGCCCAGCGCCCACACGTGTCAGTCCTGCGGCCGTGGGGGCGCTCGTGGCCTCCGCGTTTCACAGGTAGCATCCGCTGATGCCCCTGTTCTCTGCAGACTAAGCACGGCCGCGCCGTTGCCCTGTCTCCGTGACCCCTGTCCACCCTTCGGGCTGGAACCTGAGCAGGATCAGGACGATCTGGTGGCTCCGAGTGTACCCCTCCAGCTGGCCGATAAGGTTGAACACTGGCGGCAGCACGAAGTTGACCGTGGAGATAAAGATGGACGGAAGGTAGCTCACCACGAGCTGCAGCAGCGGCGTCTGCTGGACTATGGTCTTCTCCTGCAGAGACGGAGGGTGGGCGGAGGAAATGGCCGAGCGTGGGGTCCTGCCCGGCCTCCTATGCCCTGGGGACCCTGAGATCCGGGTCCAACCCCACCAGAACATTGAGCTTCTTCTTCTTCTTCTTTTTTTTTTTTTTTTTTTTTTGTCTTTTTCGTTTTTATCGGTACCAGGGATCGAACTCATGACTGCCTGCTTGCAAGGCAGGCGCTTATGCCACTGAGCTAAATCCCCAGCCCCAACATTGAGCTTCTGTCCCCACGCATACCCTCCATCTTTGGGGACGCAGGTGCTGCCGGCCCCCGAGACCCACCTGCAGCTGCCCGGATTCCTCCGTGACCTTGTAGACGCCGTAGAAGGCCACACCCAGCAGCGCCAGCACCAGCAGATTGAGCAGCGCCCGCACCAGCCACACTCGGGCCTGCTGACCAAGCGTGCGCCCCGCAGCTTTGCGCCGCACCGCTGCCTCCTCCAGTTCCACCTGAGGTCGCACACGCGTCACCGGGGTCCACTCCTGACCTGGGAGTGGCCGGAGCCTCTCTGAACACTGAGCTACAAAGGCCTCTCCCACCCTCGGATCACCTCGGTAGGGTTCATTCACTGCTCCGAGCACCCCATGGGATCCACAGTGCTCCGCGTCACGCAGCGGTGCAAACCTGCCCTGCACTCCACCTGGGTTCTGCCCCAATCCAGGCCCGTCCCTCTCGCACCCCACCCGGAGTTCTTTATCGAGCCACGCCCCCACCTGGCCATGCCCACTGCACCTGGAACCTCTGAGATCCCTAGCAGGGACTCCTTAGGAGAAAGTTATGCCTGACGCCCTATCTCAGGGGTCCCGTAGGGCCCTGCGCCCCTTCGCACACCTGCAGCTCGTAGAGGATGATGCGCTGGCGCAGCCTGACATGTACAGCCCCGCAGAGGCCAAAGTCCCAGGCCGAGAATACCCGGTGGCTGTAGCTGGTCAGAGTCCCTGACTCAGCCAGCAGCGTCTGCTTCAGCCCCGACACCGAACTGCAAGAGGGGAGACAGAGGTGGAAGAAGACCCGAGAATGGGGCTGGGGCACCGACCTCCTGCAGAACAGGAACCTTAAGACCTCTGGCATTTGGCAAGCTGTCACCTTACAAAGTCAGAGGCAGAGACTTAGGAAGTCACATTAAGCAAAGGTCAAGAACAACTCAGGACGCAGCCAGTTAGAGATAGACAGCTGCCCTAGGAGAGAGGGCCCTGAAAGGAGATGGAGACCTGGGAGGGTTTGGGGGACCCGGGACTTGTGTGCTTGTTTAGTATCCTGCTTCCTCCACCACAGCCGACACTAGCTACCTTGCGTCCTTGGTCTTCACACATCTTACAAACTGATGGCAACTCAGAGGCCTGAGCACAGAGCAAGCATTCTCCGGAAGGTGGCCCCACTGCTGCCGCTCCCACCCTCTGTCTCGGGCTCATGATGTGGGTGTCACTGACCGACGCAGGATGAGCAGGAGGCAGATGAGGCCATTGGCGAAGACCCAGCACAGGTAGGTGACTCTCAGGTACCCGTGGGCCGGGTAGAACCCGTAGAATAGTGGGGACCATTCTAGGTAGCCCTGGGGAGGGAGGGACAGGCAGATGGGGTCGCTGCTGGGCTGTGCTAAGGCTTGGAGAGGCAGTCACAGAGCAAGGCTGAAAGGACTGGGGCATCTCCACCACCCACAGGGACACCCACCTCTCCAGACAGCAGGTTAAAGAGCTGGGAGGGAAAGGCGATCAGGCCTGAGGTGTGGGGGTTGTAGGAACCGCAGAGCGAGGACACATTGATGCCAGGGGGTCCCGGGGGAGCCCCTGGCAGCCAGGTGGGCAGCAGCACCATACAGGCCACAAGCACTGAGGCCAGCACATTGAGAAGCAGCAGGAAGCACAGCAGGGAGAAGTAGGACTCGGTGCCACCGCCAAACTGGCCTGCAGGGAGCAGCAGAGAGGCGCTCAGGTGCCTTTTCCCAGCCCCAGGCTCCAGGCCCCAGCCCTCCTCCCTCAGACCCCACCACACCCCCGATCTTCTTCACGGTCCACGCCCAGGGCTGCAGGCTGCGCAAGACTTCCTTCGTCTTCTCCTTGCTCCTGGCCAGCTGTAGGGACCAGTGGCCGACCCTGGATCTGGAGCTGTACGCCTCCTGCTCCCTGTCCTGGTTCTTCCTGGAAGGGAGGCAGAGAAAACGAGGACCTGGTAGCTCTATGCTCTGTAGCAACCAAAGAAAAATACCTGATTTATGCAAAAACCCAAGTGCAACAGAATGAGGTAGGCATGACTGCATCCTCCGGGAGCTCGGAGCAAGCGCAGCGCCCTGCTCACGGGCATGCAAGTGGAAGGCAGACCATAATTAATGGGTCGGCGGAAAGCCATCGGGAAACATCCAGGAGCTTCCTCGTGCAGTGGCACGAGGCAGCGCGGGGTGGGCCTTCACCTGTGCACCCGCCTGGCCTGCATGGGCCAGGGCAGCTCCCGGGAAGGGCGAGGGTCCTGCAGCTCCCCTTGGGCTGCATTTGCCAAGGCCTGGGGGTTCCTTCCTTCATCTTCCTCCTCCTCCAAGGACCCCCAGGGCAGCGTCTCAGGTCCCCGGTACCGAAGGGTGGCGGCACTGGGCAGCTTATTCAGTACGGAGGCCAGTGTCCGGCCTGGGAGGACAACAGAGGGTGGAAGACTCGGTGTCCGGCCCAGCCTCCTCCCTCAGCCCTAAGAGTTTAGGGTTCGAAGTCTCTCCTTCCCACAGTCCAGGAATCCAGACTCCCTAAGGAGCTGGGTGGGCCCCTCTCCAGGCTGCTTCTACTCTAAGGCAGAGGGGACCAGTTCCCCACTTCCTTTTCCCTTCTTTAGGGGCTGGGAACCCTGGGCTCCCCCGTGGTGAGACAGCCCAGTCCCTGCTCTAGATCCTCTACTCCGGTGGGAGCCTGGAGTCCCTGTCCGCAGTCCTCTTCCTGTAACTGAAATCTTCCCTCTCCTTAGCACCCAGGAGCCTAGGCCTCCCCGACTGCCGCCTGGCTGTAAGGCTTCGAACTCCCTGGTTCACCCACCTGCTCCGGCCTCCTGGGGGGCCAGCCCCCTGCCCGGGGGCCCCCAGGCTGCCGGGTCCCAGTCGAGGATTCTTTCCATGGCCCTGGGCAGTGGCGGGTCTCAGTCGAGGCCTCCTTCCATGGCCCTGGGCAGTGGCATTTCCGTCTCCCCGTCCCTTGGGCGGGGACAGGACAGGTAAGGGAGGGCTCAGGGGCAGGGCGGCACCTGACTGGCAGCTGGCCCAGGAAGAACGCAGTGTGTAAAGTTCAGGGTTGCTGTGTGACAACTCTAGGAGCTGAAGTCCTGGTCACCTCCTGACCCTCTGGCGCAAGACACTGCCCGTGTCCACCTCTGCTCTCACAAACACACCCGTGTGACACTTTATTGGTGAGACTGACACATTCTGGCCCATCCTGGACCAAGGGCAACAGGGAATAGAGCAGCCCATGTGGGAGCTACTTGAGCAAAGACCCCAGCTCTAGTGAGGAGAAGCGAGGTCTGAACCCCTTCTCTGCTGAAATACTAGTTGGATGAAAATGGAACAAGACTTGGAAGAGGCGCTCTTGTAGATCCAGAGTAAGAGTCTGGCAGGGACATGAGGTCTGAGTGAAACCCTGATTTTCAAGGGTGGGAGGAGAGGGCACAGCCCTGGGTCTGATCCAGCGGGAGGCGAGTAGCTAGTAGGGGAAGCGGGTATCCTCTCCAAGCTCCGGTCAGCAGTGCCTCCCACACGGAAAGGAGTCGGCGGCCTGGCGCAGTATTCCCAGGGGATGGCTTGCAGCGGGTCTGGCCAGCAAAGGGCGCACCGAGGCAGCTCACTCCTCCCGGAGCTTTTCTGGGGCGGTGCTGGTGGCCTGGGCTTCAGCCTTCTGCTGGCTGCGCCTGCCCCGTCTGAAACCCAGCCCCAGCACCAGGCAGACCAGGGCCAAGATGTGGATGCAGAAGTAGACAGAGGCCCAGTACCGGAGCGTGCTGCCCATGGATAGCAGCACAAAGCCCATGCACATGTAGTCATAGGCGCGCATCTTCAGGAACCAGTGCACCCAGTACCAGACTTTCTGGCCTCTGAGGCTCAGCCGCCCCCAAAGGGCCGACTCCAAACAGCCCTCAGCAGCCAGGCACAGAGGGACAGTCAGGAAGCTGAGATAGTAGCCAGGGTGTAGGCCGTGCCAGTAGGCGCTCAGCAGCATGGTCCAGGCGCTCCTGGGGAGAGGGCAGGAACCAGGATGCAGAGTCAGGATTCCGGGGTCTGGTGGCCGGAAGTTCTGTCTCCCCGCCCCGGAAGGCGCTGCACCATCTTCCCTCCATTCTGGAGAACCAGGAAGCCATAGTTCCTGCCTATCTCAGGAGAGGAGTCCTGCTGCGTACAATCCACGTCCTGCCTCCATTAAGAAGCTGAATGAGCGGATGCAGCTGACTGGCAGGGATTGCCTGGCATGAGCGAGGCCCTGAATTCCAAGCTCAGCACCATGCATGCAACATGTATACAGCTTGGAAACCTGTGCTCCTCCTCCTCCCAGGACTGGGGAGTCTCTATTCCTTTTCGTGGGGTCCCAGTTCTCCTCCCACTTCCTTTCTGCAGCACCCAGCTACGTGGGATTGCAGATGTTCTTGCTCTAGGGACTGTCGTAAAATTCGATTCAGAAAGCTCCAGCCATGTTTCCCCACCTCTGTAGATTACACGATTTGGTTCTCCGTACTTTGGACCCAGACAGCTAATTCTCCAGCTCCTCAAATTCATGAATTCAGGCTCTGAGCTCACTGCTGAGGAGACACTGAAGCATCCTCCATCTTACCCTCCAACTGTGTAGGGTTGGTGGCTTCATTGAGATGTGACTTCAGGGAGCTCCTGCCTGCTGTGGGCCTCCCTCAGATACACCCAGTGCCCAGGAGTGCAAAAATGATCCAGTGACACTGGCACACTGACTGCTGCACATGGTAGGATGCTCAGGGGCAGCCTTGGGGCTCACCTCCCAGTGAGGACTAAAACTGTCCTGAGGTTGGGATGTGGCTAGGGGCACAGTGTTTCCCTAGCATGCTGGAGGCCCTGGGTCCGATCACATGCCCCTGCAGTGAGCAGTCAGCCAGCTGAGAACTGGACTAGACACTGAGGTGCTGAGGCCCTGATGGGACCGCATCTACCACATAGAGGACCCTGAGTATCTATTGCCAATACCATCTCTTCACCCCTCCCACTCCCAAATCACCCTCCTGCTACATCTTCCCCTCCCCAGGACCTCATGTGTCCACCACCAATGATGGCCACAGATGAGAACCAAGTTTCATTCATTCTCTCAAGATCCATGTAATGTGAAGTCCAGGCTGAGCCCTGGAGTACTGCTCCCGCCTGAGAACTCCAAGCTTTCATCACCACAGCCTGGACACCTGTGATTTACCTCTCTACCTCTGCCCCTAATGTCTCCTCCACCTCTACTGCATCTTCCACACAAGACCTAGAGGATGCCCTGCCCTGGGTACTGAGGATTAAACCAGGGCTTTGCACTGAGCTACACCCCCAACCCCTTTAATTTAAGGCAGGGTCTTGCTAAGACATTCCTGCTGGCTTCACGCCTGGGATACTCCCGTCTTTTTCCCAGAGTGCTGGCTTCATAGGTGTGCACCACCACATCCAGCAGTGGGATCTTTATTTTTGGACACTGGGGATTGAACCTGGGTCCTTGCACGTGCAACACGCTGAGATCTTATTTGTTCTGGTACTAGGATCAAACTCACGACCTCATGCTTGCCAGGCAAGTGCTTATGTTGCTGAGCTAAATCTCTGGCCTCCAAGATCTCACTATGTTACACTGGCTGGCCTTCAAATCAGTCCTCCTGCTTCTGCCTTCCAAGTGCTACGATGACAGCTATGTGTAGTTACTTCTGGCTGAGCAAATTTTTTGGGAGGAGTACCAGGAATCAAACTTGCAACCTCACACCCAGTTACCAGGCAAGTGCTTGAGCCACTGAGCTAAATGTCCAACACCCTGAGCAGATCTTTAAACCACACAAGGCAGATCTTGCCAGGCAGGTTTTGCTCCAGGGCTGCTGCCTATCAGGAGCTCATTTGGTGGCTGGGAAGGCTAAGTGACATGTGGCAGGCTGCCCAACCTTTCTGAAACCTCGGCCTCCCAAAATGGGGTCAAAAATACTGGGGAAGCTGAGTCGTCACTGCTGTGACTTTCAAGATAATTCTCAGCTTGCCATGCTTTCTACGGGGGAAGTTCTGGAAGAGGCTAGTGAGATGGTGCATTCCTACACTCTCACCTGCTTGGGCGCCTCAGACAGGGGAGTTCAACCAGATTCTAAGACCCAGTATCCTGCACTATCACAATAGAAGGCCCTTAGGCCAAGGAGGGCGGCTTATGCGGGTGCAGGCCCCAAGAACTACAACTCCCATGAGCCCTAGGGGCAGGGCGCCCGCAGGGACACTGTGGTCTGAGGGATGTGCAGTTCTGCGCCAACCAACACCCAAGGCTCCCTCACCTCAGGACGTAGGAGCGGAAAGGTGCGCTCTTGTAGATGTACTGCGCCAGCCACCACTGCACCGTCATGTTCCAATACCGCATGCCCTCCCGCACACGCATGCAGAAGTCTGTGTTGTAGCAGTCGATGTTTCGGATGGTCTCATAGTCGTACTCCAGGACAGCCGCCTTCTCCAGACTGGGGGTGGGGATGAGGGCGAGGAGACACGCAGCTCAGCCAGGCCCTCCCACGCTGGCGCCTAACCCCGCCCAGATGCTAAGGAGCATTTCTGGCCCGGTGACAGCTCCGTGGCTGTCAAGAGTAGCTAGGGCACATGGCACAAAGGCCAGGGGGAGCAAGATGGGTGGGTAGGCACCATTCACGACAGAGGGATTATTTTCTTGCTGTTTGGCTGCCACTGCTGCAAAAAGCCTGGTGGGTATGATTGCTAAGCTGAGTCCTTCAGCAACCAAACTCAGCATATTCACAGAACCTACCAAGCGTGGTCCCTTCTGAGCAGAGGGTCTGTGCCGTGGCTAGGGAAGTATCCTTTCCAAAGGAGGTGGTTGCTAGGGGAACTTCTAAGTCTCGTGACTCTCAATGATCTCCATTGCTATATGGACAAAGGATTCCTTAGCAACAAGGCCCAGGTGGCCCCGAAAAGCTTCCCCAAAGGGTCTTTTGTCCTAGTCCCTGTGACGGTTCAAGGATCATCGCCTCCAGAAATCCAGCAGTGGCCACTGAGTCTTCTAACGATAGAAGGGAGCCGCCCTTTAGAAGGGGAGCCAGGTGAATCTAGACAGCCTTCAATGCCTGCCCGACTCCCTGTGAGACATTCTCTCTAGCTGCTGGGGCACTGCCCATGGCTACTAGAAAGTGGACACCACTACCCCACAACAGGGTGGCAGTTTATGCCTTCCAGGAGGTGGTACAACCCTGGCAAGGTGTGGTTGGTCATTTACAGCAGGAGGATGCTGCCCCAACGCCAGTGCCAGCCAGGTGGGAGGCTGGCATTGGGGTCCAGAGGGTCAGCTCACTCCTGGTTGCTAGGGATACCACCTCTCTAGCAACAGAGAAGTCCCACAGTAATCACCTGTGTGACCTACTCAGCAGTGATGGTGCTGGGAGCATGGGCAACATCAGGAGTATTGGGTCAAGTTGGTTGCCAGGAGGAGGAGTGGTTTCCTTGGTAACAGAAGGGGGTGACCTGTGGTTGCTGGGAATGATGCCCCCACAGCTGGAGGAGGGCATGGTGAGGGATGCTACTTCCCTGGATACAGACAGCAACTGAGAGCTGCTATATGACATGAGGACAGGAACTGGGTCCTGCAATGCAGGAGAAGCTCAGGGGATGCAGGTTCTGTAGCCCCAAAGGGCAAGACTTCTGTCAAAAAGAGAACTAGAGATGCTAGGGATATCGTTTCCCTACCAACGAGGGCAGCTAGGTTGCTAAGCAACCATGCCCCTAACAACAGAGAATGACCTACCACTATCAAAACATGGCATCCCCAGCAAACAGGAATAATCTGGTTTTGGGGGTGATGTCTCCATGGCAACAGTGGCATGTAGTTGCTAGGATACCACCTTCCTTTCCTAGCAAGAAAGGGTGTTCTTACCATACTGCAGGGTGACGAGTACTAGCAATGAAGGGCAATGAATAGGTACCAAGAATATCGGACTCCTACTGACAAGGGAAGGCAGGTGGTGGTCACCAGAGGTGACACACCATTCACAGGTGGTGGCCCTGTCCCTGCTCCCCACTGCCCTCCCTGCTGGGATCAGGGCCAGCCTAGCAGGGCCAACCCTTGGTGGTGGGACTGGCTGAGTCTTGGGAAGCCTCCCTCCCTTCGCCTGACCTGCTGGGGGGTGGGCATTGGAGGGTGGGGCCGCCCCCGGCCCGGGCCTTGGCAGCCACAGGATAGGCCCCAAAGCCCGCAGCAATGCAGCCGCACTCAGCAGCAATCCAGGCCACGTAGAAGCGCATGCGGAACGCAAAGAAGACTGGGACCATGTAGAAGAGGCGGGTGGCAAGTGGGCGAGCGTAGAAGGCATCCTCACGCACGGCCTCCAGTGGGAAGAGATGGGAGGACAGCAGGAAGAGTAGGCCAAAGAGGGGGGCTGGCCAGGCCCGGCGGAGCAGGGGCCTCAGGCTGGGCACCGCCTCGGGGAAGGGTTGCTCCAGCCAATCCAGGTATGTGCGGTAGCGGAAGAACGGGCCTGTGGGGGCAGAAGGCCAGATGGTCAGACGGAGTGGGTGAGGGAAGGGAGACCCAGGGACGATGGACGGAGAGATGACAGAGTGACCCTACGGATAAGAAGCAGTGAGACTAAAGTAGATGGGGACAGACAGATAAGACCTGCACACGGAATCCTAGAAAGTAGAGCAGGACTAGAGAGAAAACCGGGTGGGTGGGTGCACCCAGGTCAGCAGGTGTGAGGTCAGGGTTTCTCCAGCAGGGAGGACCAGTCCCGCCCACTCCACCCAAGCCCCACTCCCTGCTGGGTAGACCTGGGCCTTAGGGGCAATAGGAGCCATCGGCCCCAGATCTGGTAGTGGGCGGCCTAGGGACAGGCAGAAGACATGTGTGTGTATACTTGATTCACAAGAAACTTCACCTGCCCAGAATAGGTACATCTGTAGACATAGCTCATAAGGGGCTGGAATGAAAGGAGCCCGGGACAGCACCATGTAGACCAGTACCAAAACGCGGGTGCAGAGGTATGGTGAGGGGAGAGGTGGATGTCAGGAGGCCACTCACCTGTCATGATTCCCACGTAACAGTAGCTGTAACTCAGCGTCTCCATCAACGAGGGAACATCGGGCAGCAGCCCCAGGGCAGGCGTCTTGCTGAAACCTGAGGCCATTTCCTTCCGCTGGGCCAAGTGCAGGTCCTGGACGTCACTGGCCAGACTCACCAGCTGGGGAAGTGTAGGCGGGGGGTCAGCCCAGGTGGCTGGGGCATCTATCTTTATCTCATGCAGCTCTGTGGCTTCAGGTGCGGTCCAGAAGCCAATGACGCCCAGGTGCTAGCCCAGTCTGGACCTTGGCCGAGCCAGGGCCTCCTCAGCAAGCTGCCAGATGCTGTTTATACTTGAAGCTTTCCAGGTATGTCAGGGAACACAGTGCCACTTGCTGCCCAAAGCAGACCTCCTCATGTCCTCCAGCAGAGAAGCCATCCCATTCAGTCACTGGCTCAGGTTAGAAACTACCATGGCTCCCAGACTCAAGCCCTCAGCTTTCTCGAGTCTGTCTCTTTCCCACCTCCACTGCGGGGCCAAGATGTTCTACTGCCCCTCCAGATCTACTCTCTGGGCTCCAGATGGCTGAAGCCCACCGTAGGGTCCAGGAGTGTCTGTGGCCTTCCTGCCGGATTTGCTGGACACAGGGCCCAACAGGACAGTGAGGAAAGCAGGCTAGTCCTCCCCCCAGGAGGATGTGACTTGGAGAGCTTGTTGGAAGCGGAAGGAGGCCTCTACCCAATACTTCTTTCCATTTCTAGGATTCACCCTCCCGGATAAACCCTGGCCCAGGGCCCCCTCACTGCCTTTCTCCTCTCCATGCTGCTCACCCCACTGCAAATAAACCCTTCTAGCTGTCCTCAGGCAGCATTTCCTGTTAGGGCTCTGAGCTGCTTGCCAAACACAGCAGATTGCACACATCAAGCTGCCACTGTCAGTCACATGGTCCTTGATAAAGGAACCCTGTCTCATTCCATCTTGGCTCATCCCACTTCAGTTCTCTCAGGATTCTGGGTGTGTACCTTTTTTCTTATGTCGCTATGGGCCTGGGAGTTGAATCCAGAGCTTCCCATGTGCTTAGACAAGCAACACATCCCTAGGATCCATCCTCAGCTCTTTGGAATGATGTCAGGATCCCAGGACAGAACAAAACTCAGGACTCCTCAGGTCTGGGGCAGGGTCTGGGAGTCTGTTCCTACTTACCTTCCCAGGCGACAGGTCCCAACTGGGACCTGCCTGTCCCATTTGAAGTCCTTGACTAGGTATCTACTCCCTAAAGTTCATTTTCCTTCTGTGCAAAACAGTTTGTTACAGTACAGAGCTTTAAGTACAGCGTGTTGTTAACGCACAGTCAAAAGGCACAGCCCAGGTGTCAGAGGGGTCTTCCTATTACAGCCTGCGGTCTTTCCTTAGCCCAAAAGAGCAGAGGGTGAAGACCAGCTTGGGGACCTGAGAGACACCAGTGCTGTTCTCACTCTGGGCTCAGGAGATAAACTCCCCACCCCACCCGCGGGAAGGGCTGGGAGGAGGTGCAGCGCATTGGCCAACTGGGCCCCTGGGCGGCGGGGGAGTGGGAGTCCAGGCTGACCTTCAGCGTCAACAGCAGCTGGACAGCATTGGTGAAAGGCGTGGGAGTCGGCAGGCCCAGCAGGCTGAGGGCTCGGAAGAACAGGAGGTAGGAGAAGGTCCAGGCGAGGGCCAGGGTGTGGCAGGAGCTGAGGCGGAGGAAGGAGCACTGTGTGGGTGCAGGGACCGCGGCCTCTGTACCCGTCCCCGATCCTGACAGAAAACTTGTCCACCTCTCAGGGTTCAGGCAGAAAAGGCGCAGGCACGGCGAGAGGAAGCAGCGAACCGAGAACGGCTGCGGAGCCAGAGCTTTCGGTCCTCCGGGTCCTCACCGCCCAAACCCGCAGGGCAACGGGGCGCGGTGGGGGGGGGGATCAACGCGCAGGGACAGTAGCGCAAGCACGCGGGGCACAAGCGCCGAGACAAGCGGGTGGGGAGGAAAATGGGACGCAAGACAGAGGACAGGGGGCTAGGAGAAAGCAGAGGCATCCGGGGGCTGGGCGGTCCCCTCCCTCCTCCTCCTCCTCCGCCCTGGCACCCCGCTCACCAGGGCTGGGCCTGAACGAGCGCCCAGGTCCCCAGCACGGTGATCAGAGAGTGCAGCGTGTGGGGGCCGCAGGTGAACACGGTGAGCCCTAGGCCCACGGCCGCCGCGCCCCATCGCTTCAGCCCGGGGCCTGAGGGGAGAGAATGGCCTGAGCCTGGGCCCCGGCTCCCTCCTCGCCTTTCCGGCCGCCCGCTCTCCCTCGCTTTCCCCGGGCGGGAGCTCGACTCACCGGCCTTCTTAAAGAGGAAGCCGATGGGGATGGAGAGGAGGAGAACCACGAGGTAGGTGCGCTCTTCGGGGGACATGGTCTGGGAAGACAGTAGGACAGGGGCTCCTAGGGGGATCCGGGCGCCGGGACCTCCAGCTCCGTTTTCCTTCGAGGATCCAAAGATCCGGTTCCCACCCCAGCCAGGGGAGCCCAGCTTCAGCCCAGACCCGGGCCTCTGGTCCCGGCTCCTTCCCTCGGCGGACGCAGAATCGAAAGCTTCCCGCCCCCATGGAAGCACAGACAGCAAGTCGTGCTTCCTTTGCGCACCCCGCAACATCTCTTCGAGCGCCGAGGAGAACCTGGGGCCTCCAGCAGCCTCCCCCGGCCCAAATCCGCCCGGCGAGCCCCCGCCGCGAGCCCCAGCCCGGCCCACCTGAGCGCCCGCCAGGCGGGAGGGCCACCCGGCCCGCGCCCACTGCGGCTCTCGCCGCGCGATCTGGGCCTGGATGCGCCGCTGCCGCCACTGCCGTCGGAGATCGGCTGGGCTGCGCCGCGCAGGGAAGCAAGGTGAGCCCGCTCAGCCGCCGAGTGGAGCCGATCTGACCGCTCAGCTCCGACGCACAGCCGCGGGAACGAGCGGGGCGGGGCCTCGGCTGGGGAGGCGGGGCCGGTGCTTCCGGCCCGCAGGACTCGGACCTGTCCCCTATTCCGGTTCATTCGGGCGCAGTCGGGAACCCGAGCTCACAGGGTATAGGAGGCACCACACTGTTCGGCTTACTTCGGAGAAGGCAGCTTTCGGATATGGGGCGGGGGACACAAGTTCGGCTTGTTTCAGAGATGGTCCAGAACGCTGTAGTGCGGTTGTAGGAGTGGGCAGAGGTTCGTTTTACTTTGGGAAGAATCGTGTCAGTGAACTCGCGTAATAGGCAGAGCCAACAGTTTCCAGGTCTTCAAGGAGGAGGCCGGGACCACCGGCACCGAGAGGGGCGGGATCGAGGCGGAGCCGCCAGGAGGGGGCGTGCCCTGGGAGGGCTCTTGGCCCAGGGGGCGGGCCAGAATAATAAACCTCCCTCAGGTCTTCTGGGTTGAGGGGCGTGACGCAAGGGCTCGGCATGGCGCGGGGAGGAGGGAGAAGCGCGTGGCGTTACGTGTAGGGACCGGCTCTGCTTGGCTTTAGAGGTGCCACGCTCGTTCTGTCGGACGACAGTGGCCCGGTATGAGGCACGCGAGGACGCAGACGGAACATACACCACTGGGGCGAAACGGCCCGGCGGAGAGCGGATGGCGCGGGGCGGGGCCTGGGTGGTCTGGCGATGGGAGCCGACAATTTCCGAAGATAGAATCGCCTACATTCGGAAGGGGGCGGGGCTGTGGGTTCGGCTGCGCCGAGAATCCCGGAACGCCGAGTCTCTCACGTTCGGGAAGGGGTGGGGTTTCGCGCTAATGAAGTCTGCTTTAGAGCGAGGCCTGGGACGGGCCCGGAGACGGGGACCCGGAGGGAGCGGGGGCGTGCCCTAAGGGAGTGGGCGTGGCCTGGAGATCTGGGCCGCAGGTGGCTTCCCAAGGCCTGCTGTGCGAGCGATCTGGGGTTTCTTAGTGGTGTTTGGGTGACTACCGTGTTGCTGCTCCACAGGAGGATGCTGGTGGTGGAGGTGGCGAACGGCCGCTCGTTGGTGTGGGGCGCCGAGGCGGTGCAGGCGCTGCGGGAGCGCCTGGGCGTGGGGGGCCGCACGGTGGGCGCCCTTCCTCGCGGGCCCCGCCAGAACTCGCGCTTGGGCCTCCCACTGCTGCTTTTGCCCGAAGAGGCGCGCCTCCTGGCCGAGATCGGTGCCGTTACCCTGGTCAGCGCCCCTCGCCCGGATCCCAGCCAGCACGCCCTGGTAAGAACAGCGGGGCTCCGAAGGAGGGGTCCTGGGAGTCCCGCTGCAGAGTGGCTCGGTTGGGAGCATGTACGGAGTTAGGATTCCCGATTTCTCGAGGGCTCGCAAGCCTGGGTCATGGATTTAGTTCAGTGTACTTGTCAGGCTTTGGCGTCATACAGATGCCAGCAGGAGCAGAGCTTCCAGGAGCAAAGCGTGTTGGCGGCCGAGGCCCGTGAGAACCGGCGTCAGGAGCTGCAAAAGAAGATCGCCGAGGGCCAGGCTGCCAAGAAGCAGAAGCTGGAGCGGGATGCTAGGGCCGGCGGGAGCCGAGCTGCCGAAGGGAGCCAGACTGAGCCCGAGCCTGAGCCTGAGCCCCAGAAGGAAATCAAGACAGGAGGTGGCCAGGCCTCTGGGGAGCCAAGGGAAGCAGGTGGGTGGGGTGTGGGGGGGAAGGAGGCTTTGGGGAGTTTGGCCAGGTCTCACCAGGCTTGAAGGCCCCTGTGCTTGGGTTCATCACATTCCTCTCTACTTCTCCAGGGCCCTCCTCTCCTCGAGTAGCTTCGGACAGAGTGGTGCCCTTGCCCAGGTCTGCCCTGCTGGTCCAGCTGGCCACCTCCAGGCCTCGGCCTGTGAAGGCCAGGCCCCTGGACTGGCGCGTGCAGTCCAAAGACTGGCCCCATGCTGGCCAGCCCGTCCACGAGCTGCGCTATAGCATCTACAGAGACCTGTGGGAGCGTGGCTTCTTCCTCAGCGCAGCGGGCAAGTTTGGAGGTGACTTCCTGGTGTATCCCGGTGAGCTGGGGCTGGGGGCTGCAGTGGCTGTGCTTTCCTTCACCCTCCTGATGTGTTCTGGGACTCAGCCCTTCTTTCCCCTGCCTTCCAAAGTATGCAGGATTGGACCCAGGGACTTGCGTGTGGTTACCAAGTGTATCCCTCAGCTTCCTTCACAGAGCTACTTATTTTCTTTCATTTTGAGTCAGTGTCTTCCTGAGTTGCCCAGGTCAGCTTCTGACTTGTGGCCCTCCTGCCTCAGCTTCCTGAGTACATGCCATTACAGATTACACCCCCCACCCTACCCCACCCCACTATGTTTTATCCCTTTGTCTCCTCTTAGCTTCTGAAAGATATAGAAAGGCAGGGAGCTTGTGGGAGTTCCAGGTTTGTTTGGAGGGTAGTTTAGCAACTTCTACTAATCACTTCAAGCAGCCCATAAGAGTGACTTAAAAGTACTTAGACATATGTGTAAAACAAAGTAGAATATTGGGAGCCAGGTGTGGTGGTGCACGCCTGTAATCCCAGCCCTTGGGAGGCTGAGACAGGGGGATCCCCTTGAGTTTGAGGCCAACCTGGGCTACATAGTAAGCACAGTAAGTTCAACAAGGTCAGGGTGAACTACACAGTAAGACTGTCTCAGGGAAAAAAAAAAAAAAAAGAATAGCTAAGCATGGTGGCTCATACCTGTAATTCCAGCATTTTGGGAGGCTGAGGCAGGAGGATCACTGGGAGTTCAAGGTCAGCCTGGGTTGATTAACAGACTAACCGGCCAGAAAACATAGCTTGTAAATGATTGTGTCAAGGCACAGACAAGTCTTGTTTCTAAGCTTGCCTCCTACAGTATAGACATCGCTGGGCCCCTCAGAAGACAGTGGTGGGCCTAGCTTCCCTGGCACTGTGTGATTTTCACTTTAGTATCCACATTTGCAGTGTGGTATGCAGTGCCTGCCTTCCTGTGCATGTGTTACAGTGTTGCTTTCTTTACCTGCCCTCCCCTCCCTACATGCAGGTGTAGTTGACACCTGGAGAGGTTCTGGCCCCTGTGGGGATCTCGTTGGAAACCCACTGCCATGCCACCTTGAGGGTGGTAGCAACGGTCTCCTGGCTTGGGGTGTCTCAGAACCTCCCCTGTTGGTTATGTTTCTGTGCAGGGCCTAACTCAGGTGCCTGTTCTGCTGGTGTGGACCCTCCTTGAGCAGGGACCAACGACAGCCCAAGTCCCGTCTGGCCCTCTGGCTGCTTCTGTGATTGCAGCCACTGGTGCATGTAGCTGCCCTGGTGCTGCTCTGGTTGAGCTGAGTGTTTGCAGCATGGCCTGTGGCTGGGCACGCGGACCCTCTGGCTCTTTTGGCAAAAAAGTGGTTGGCCTTTTTGTTATTGCTGTACCATGCTATAATAAGTTTCCTCAGGTGTAGGTGAGTGCTACACCACTGAGCTGCACCCCAGTGTTTGTCTGAATTTTAGCCCTGTGATGACGAACACGTTAGGGCTTTCAGTGATGCAGGTGGCCGCCACAGCACTCATGCTATAGATTTGCCACCTCTCTTTTAGCCTGTTGTGGTCACCTCTCAGCCATCTTTGTGAGTCCCTCATGGCTGTGACTGTTGCTAGTTATTTTTTTCTTTTTCTTCTGTACCAGGAATTGAACTCAGGTCCTGTGCTTGCCAGGCAGGAACTTATACCACTGAGCTTTATCCACAGCCCCCACTGTGGCCAGCGCTTAGCATATGCTTGTGACCACAACATATTCAGTAATTATGAGTGATAGCAAAATACCGTAATTAGTAGGGCAGGGTAGTGTACAGCTGTGATCCCAGCACTTAGGAGGCTGAGGCAAAAGGATTGCTGCAAGTTTGAGGCCAGCCTAGATTACATATTGAGTTCAAGGCCAGTCTCAACTATATAGCAAGACCCTGTGTCAAAAGCCAAAATAAAAAACAAACTGCTGTAATCATTATTATGTTATGGTAAACACACTGGAAGTAACAGCACCAGGAAGGTTAAAGAGGCAGTTTATTACACTGGTGGGCTTCTGAGCAGAATCTCTCCCAAAGAGCCAGGGCCCCACCTGGTGGTGTTTTGGGGTTTTTAAAGGAAAAACTAGTGGGGATGTACAAAGGCAGATTCAGTGCCTATGATTGGAAGGTTGGGTGGCATCACGAGTTGCTGAAGAAGTTTAAACATTTGGGTTCTGCAGGGCTTGGTGGCACATGCCTGTAATCCCAGTCAGTACTCAGGAGGCTGAGGCAGGAGGATCGGAGTAAGTTCGAGACCAGCCTGGACTATAAAGAGAGCTCAACTTGAACTGCATGGTGAAACCCTGACTCAAAAAGACAGGAAAATAAAAAGAACATTTCAGGTTCCATCTAAGGCTATCAGTTACCCAAAGAAGAAGTGTTCTGTTACCAGGCCTGCAGGACACATCCACTTGGTCTTGGAGGGCATCCTGGGCAGGCTTCTATTTAAAATTTTAATTTTAACTTTCCCCCTTACAGGTATTTTATGGTGCTACTGGTAAGAAAAAATGCACAGCTGTGGAATAGCTTGGTGTGAGGGTGTAGGTTTCAGAGTATCAGTGACAAGTTGTAAAATGAGCCAGGTGGGGTGTTCTAGCGTGACCCTGTCCACTGCCATGAGACACTCTTGAGCCTCTCTGTCCCGCAGGTGACCCGCTGCGTTTCCACGCGCACTACATTGCTCAGTGCTGGGCTGCCAAGGACCCCATCCCGCTGCAGGACCTGGTCTCTGCAGGCCGCCTGGGGACCAGCGTGAGGAAGACGCTGCTGCTGTGCTCCCCACAGCCCGATGGCAAGGTAGCCTACACCTCCCTGCAGTGGGCCAGCCTGGGATGAGGCCAGATGTGGTCTGGCTGGAGCCTCCCACATTCTCCACAGGGCAGCACCTGCTTCTCTCTGGGTTAGTTTTGACCCCTGGGCCTGAGCGCTCCTGTCCATTGGCTCTTCCATTTGGGGACTTGGCTGTATACTTTGGTTTTCCGTGTCCAGGCTGCAGGCTTCTTAGGAGTGGGGGCTGGGTTCCATTTAGCTCTGTTTTCTGCAGGGCTGAGGGCCCAGCACCTCTCAATAAACTTGTGGAGTGTTTGTCACATTTGTGAAAACCCAGCAATGTGGGCGCATTCATCCCCATACACAGGTGTAGGGAGGAGGCTGGAGACTCCCCCAGGGTCTGTCTGCCAGTGAGTAGCAGGCCTGGGTGCCAGGCTTCCGTCTGCGTCTTCTCACGGTGCTGAAGTTCATTAGAAAAGATTTTTACACACTGTATCAGGTAACTGGGCGTAGTGCTGGGCACCTGTAATCCTGGCCACTTGTAGGCTGAGGCAGGTGGATCGCAAGTCTGAGGCCAGCCTGGGCAGCATGGCAGTTAACAAGACCTTGTCTCACAAAATGCAAAAGGACTGGGAGTGTAGTTTCTTGGGAAGCCCCTGGGTGCAGTCCTCAGTACTGCCACAAAACAAAAGGAAACGGAACCAAAATAAACAGATAACCCAGGACACATGGATGTTTATAAAGCAAACGGTGGCCTTTGTCCTCAGAAATTGCTGGAACGTTACTAATGCGCTAATAGCTTAACAATACGTACTTTTATTTCCTCTCACAGATTTTTTTCTTTTTTTTGGTACCGAGGATCAAACTCATGACCTTGTGCTTGCCAGGCAAGCGCTTGTGCTGCTCAGCTAAACCCCTAGTCCCCATATTTAGCTAATGTAATGCTTTTACATATTCAGGGGCTGAAAGCCTCTTCTGAGGTTGTTTAGGGTTTTCCTTCAGCTTCTTTCTTGCCGTTTTTAGTAAACAGCCTTTATGGAATCTGAGTTTCCTGTAAATGCATTACTTTACAAAGGATACCAACACCTGCCAGGCTAGCACTGCTGTATGCTTGGTAACTGCAAACGGTCCCCGGCCTCTCTCCTCACTCTGTAAGATACTTAGGTCTTAGATCTGTTTCACTAGAAGGTGTCTCCTCAGGAAAGATTGTGTTCAAAGCCGGCCTGGGCAACTGCGTGAGACCTGTCTGAGAAAATGAAAGGGCTGTGGACATAGCTCAGGGCAGCAGCCTTGCCAGGCATGTGTGGGGGCCCGTGTTGGAACCCCAGGGCCGCAGAAGCAAGTGTGGAGGGGAGGGGTATCCCTCGGCCCAGCAGCTGTGGATACAGGAACAGAACTCTGCTCTGTCCCTGCCTCCACCGCCAACACTGGCAGAGCCATGGTGCTGACCTGCCTCACCGGGATTATCTCAGCTGCTTCCCAATCCTTCCTTCCACCTCTAATCCACAACAATGTCAAGAGACAGGACTCAGGTGCAAAGATAGGTTAGGCCATGTGGCTCCACTGTTCCAGGTGCCCAGCGGGCCCGCTCAGTTAGCAGCCAGGGCCCAGTGCCTCAGGTTCCTCGTTAACTCTGCCCTGCTCAGCTCTGCCCACGCTCAGTTCTTTGTCTTCCACTGACTACGGGGACAGACTGTACCCTGGGCAGCCGTGGGATTGGCTCTCCCTGCTGGCTGGTCAGTGAGACCCTCCCTGGTGACCCAAGTTAAAATTTAACCCTCCTAGGCTGGGGCATATAGTTCAGTGGTGTGGCGCCTGCCTGGCAAGCCCGAGGTTCTGAGTTCAATTCTCAGTACCCATTAAATAAATAAAACTAGATCATCAAAAAAATTTAACACTTCCCACCTCCCCTTGATTTGTCTTACCACTCTTATCACTCACATGCTCTACATCTTTTTTTTGTTTGAGGGAGGGTGTGTTTTTGGTGACAGAGTCTCACCATGTAGCCCAAACTGGCCCAAGATTTTTGCTCCTTCTGCCTCAGCCTTTGAGGTATATGGATGTGTCTTGCTTATCTTTCTTACTCATTTTGTTTGTTTAGCTAGAAGGTAAGCTTCATGGGACAGGCAAGCTGATTTTTAGAAAAGCTTTATTGATATATAGCATGTGTGATAAAATTCACTAGTTTTAAGCATATAATCTACTGATTTTTAGATTCCAGAGTTATGTAGTTGTTACCATAGCCTGATTTTTGGTTGTTTTGGTCATTTCCAAAAGATCCCTCTGCCTGGCTGCAACCACTCCCCATTCCCAGCTCCAAAGCAGGCCCCAGTCTCTCTGGGCGGCTGCCACAGGATGCCTCACGGGATGGAGCCTCGGGCTGGGTGCTGGCTGTGCTGGCACCCTTACCCGTGCATTCTATTGCGGGCATCACCATGCTTCTCACCTGTTCGCCAGGTGAGGGCACATGGTCTCTTCCCAGCTTAGGGACAGCTGTTCTCAGGTTCATTTGGTCCCATTTCATGTAGTATCCTAGTTCAGCAACCGTTCTTGGCACATAGTAAGTTCTCAGCACATTGCTGAATGTGTAGCTGACTTAAACTATAATGTTTTTTTTCCCTTTGGTCCCAGGAATTGAACTCAGTACCTCAGGCTTGCCAGGCAGAGGCTGTGCCACTGAGCTATACCTGTGGCCCTAATTTTTTGATCAAGACTGAGTGAGAAAATTTGGAATTTACGGCTGATCTTGAACTCACTTCGTAGTCCAGGCTGGCCTCACAGCAGTCCTCCTGCCTCAGCGTCCAGAATGCCAGGGTCACAGGTGTGCACCACCGTGCTGAGCACCATCTTCATGTTTTAACTCATATCTACATGTGTGATCCTTTACTTACATTGTAGCACACAGTATGCACTTCTGCAGCTCGCATAGACTATGTCTGTTAACAGCTACAGTGTGGCAGTGTGTGGATAGCTCATAGTTAATTTTTTTGAGGTGGGGCCACACTAATTTTCCCAGGCTAAGTCTCAAACTTCTGGATTTAAGTGTTTCTCCTGCCTCAGCCTCCCCAACAGCTAGGACTGGTCCCCAGTCTGGGTGGTAATGTTTTTACAGCCATGCAGAAGGGAAGTCACATGGATCCCACCCTGCTCTGCTTGCCTGGCTGGGCTGTGTTGGCCATAGTGCCATGCTCTACTGTGAGGGGAAGGGCAGGAGGGGCTGCAGAAGGGGTCCGGTGACATGGAGAGGACCAGCTTGGGGCTGACCACCTTGTAATCACTACAGACAGCACACTGTCTGTCCTGCACTGGGATTTTTTTTAAACTTTAAAATCATCAAATCCAGTGGGGAATTATTGTTACTGTGCTCTTTTGAGCACATGCAAAGAGGCTAATTTTGCTCAAGACTAAGACCCAATGGTCTTTTTTGTAACCTTTAACTTGAGAAACCATAGATTCAACTACTAATACAAAGCCACCAGAACCACAGTCTCAATCACAGCCAGGTGGTAGCAGGAGGCTTGCCGGTTCGAACCCAGCCTGGGCTACATAACCAGACCCCTGTCTCTCAAAAAATCCCAGTGATCCATAGTCATAAAATGCCTAGAATCTGCAAGCCCAGAATTTACCCTGCCCTGAAGGGAGTGAGAGGTTGTTTAAGTTTTTCTTTCCATTTTGTTTCCCTTCCTGAATGGTATCAGCGTGTGGGATATAACAAAAGCGAAACATTGGAGACCTCCACAGAAAATAAAGATCTCAGGTTTCTGTCATAAACTGCCCCCTCCCTGTGGGAAGAGGTATGGAAGGTGTTAGGTCTGAGAAGAGTAGAGGAAGAAGAGGGGAAAGGAATGAAGGAGTGGAGAGGGAAAGAGGGCCGTGAAAGGAGTGGTGGAAAGGAGTATAAAATATAAGTAATCTTTATTTCGGGAATGCGGGGAGAGCCCCCCTCCACCCCGGGGCCGGCGGTCTCTCTCTGGAACACACTCTCCCTTTCTTTTCTGAACACGTGGAGTGAGGCCCATAAGTAGCCTCTGTCTGGGGTGGACCCCAAGGGGCATTAGGGATGCACAGGTATTTCATTGGCACACGTTTGGTGCCAGGGACAGGTTCTTAGGGATGGGGGTATAGGGTTCCAGGTAAATCTATAGGGGCGGGGGAGGCAGGAGCCCCCTAACTTGGCTGAGGCTTTTCCTGGTTAAAGTGTCCGGTCTGGGCCAGCAACTCTTTCACAAGGCACTTCACAGAAAGGCAAATACTGAACCAGCTGGCAGAGTAGGAGAACCTCAGCTTCTGTGCATGCAGATGCAAATGTAGCCCGCAAATGTAGCCTGCCTGGCGGCACAGCGCAGAGACTCTGAGGCATGAGGATTGCTGTGGGTTCCAGGCCAAGCTGGGCTGCAAAGGGAGACCCTGTCTCAGAAACTTGCAAGTATAAGTCAGTTTTCACAGATCATATTGGTAAAAATGAAATGGAATTAAAGTGGATGGGGCGGTGGCAGGGGTATAGCTCAGTGACACAGCAGCTGCCTGGCAGGCGCAAGCTCTATTCCCCATAACAAAGGGGGGAAAAAAGCTGGGTGTGGTGGTGCATGCCTGTAATCATGATGTATAATAGAGGACCTTGGCTTAAAACAAAAAGCATTAACAACAAAAAAGACACATCACTATTAAACCCCCTCCAAATACTCCCCCCTTGATTTAAAGACACTGGATCTTTTTGACATTTTCTCTTCTTCCATTCCCTCCTCTCCCCTTTTCTCTCTTTTGCCTATAAGTGACAAGGTCATGTTATATAGTTCAGCCTGTCCTTGAACTATGTTGTCCAGCTTGGCCTCAAACAGTGATCCTTCTGCCTCAGCCTCCTGAGTGCTCGGATTACAGGCTTGTGCCACCATGCCTGGCCTAGGTACTGTGCTTTTTAATCACAACTCATAAAGACATAAAGAAGCCTTCCCGAACTGCTTCAGAAAGTGGTGAGGAGGAAGAAGAGTAAAGGAATGTGTCTTTTACTATAATAAACTTTTAAGATATAAACATTTATTTGTTTTGTTTTGGAGACATTTATTTGCCGTGTAGCCCAGATTGGCCTCAAATATTCTCCTGCCTCAGCCTCCTGAGGCTGGGCTGAGAGGTGTGTACTACCACACCTTGTGAAAAAGAAGTTTGATCCACACACTGTAGCACTCGGCCAAAAACAAAACAAAAACACCATTTTTGTCTTTTTGAGATAGGTTTCCACATGTAATAAATTCCAGATCCTCCTGCCTCAGCCTCCCAAGTGCTGGGATTACAGGGGTGTACCACCATACCCTGCTGCTGTGGGCTCTTTGAAATAGTTGACATTAAAGTTTACCAGTCTGTCCAAGAGATACAAGATACCAAATTTGAGCAGAATGTACGGCAATAGGATTTAGAACACTTTCCTTGTTCTGGGGGAACCCAAAAGAAACCTCAGGAAATTAATGTTTTGGGTAAGAGGCATAGCCTTTAAAAAAAATCATTGGGCCTTCGCTGACCATCCATCTGTGCTTCCTTCTTTTAGTCCTCAGCAGTTTATTTTCTTCACTGTGAAATGATCTTCGTTAACTCTCTTGGCCTCAATTTCCCTCTCTATGAGTGGCTGTTTAGCTCACTGGTAAATGCCCTCATATACAAGAACAAATGCTTGTGCTGCTCAAACTTCTGTTGCACGTATGAGGCCCATGTGGACGATGGGCAGCTTCCCCAAAGGTAACCACTGTTCACGAGTCCAGGTTGCAATTTCTAGTAAGGTCTCTTTTTGTCTAAGATGCGAGGCAAACATGCAACAATGAGGATGGACAGGTGGGCCGTATTCCCCGAGTCTCTGCATGCACTCAAGCTGAAACAGCGGGCCGTCGTCTGGGAACGCCCAGGTCGCGTTACTGTCCTTGAGGGCTCAGGCAGCAGTCACGGTCCCGGGTCTCTGAAGCGTGAGGAGGCCAGGGTGCGGAAAATACAGGCATAACCAGTGCAATTGTGACTCGGGCGGGAGTGGCGGCAGGTCTCTAGCCCTAGCACAGTTTAAAAGGCCACTGTCTAGTGGAGGAGAAAGATCCCGACACGCTGGCCCTCAAGTACTCTGTGATCCCAAAGCGTGGCGGGAACAGACCCAGCCGCCCGGCACGGCCCGCCCAACCCAGCACGCCGCTCTCGCCCAACCTCTCGTCCCGATTGCTCTCCCGGCCATTAACGCCTTTTCTGATTGGTACAGACGTCACCTTGCGTAATGACATCACGAGGCGGCGAAGCTGCTATAAGAGCGCGACCAAGGCGCACGCGGCTCTTTTCCTCAGTTACCGGGATCTGCTCGCAGGTAAGGTACAGTTGGGGTTTTAGTCTGGAGTTGGGCTTTATGATTGTACGGGCTTTAGGAGCTTCCGCAAGTATCCAAAAACAGCCAGGGAAGAGGAGGCTAGTGGGACGGGAGTGTAGCGCGGATGTGTGGGTGACTGTAAAAGGTCTCCGGGCTGTTCTCGCGAGATGACTGGACGCCATGAGATCGTGGCGCGGTGGCGGGACTGCGCCGGCTGGTGGGGAGGCTCACGCGCCGCCTGATTTCCGCGCAGGCGGGAAAGCGGAGCCAGCATGCCGGTGGCAAGAAGCTGGGTTTGTCGCAAAACCTACGTGACCCCTCGGAGGCCCTTCGAGAAATCCCGCCTTGACCAAGAACTGAAGCTGATCGGTGAGTGGAGTCCACGGTGTGCCTTCCGTGGCCGGGGGAGGGTCAACGCGCGGCGAGGCACGCAGTGGCGTGTCGCCTCCCGCCGGCCTTTGAACGCCCTTTCTCCTACGAATAGGCGAATACGGTTTGCGGAACAAGCGCGAGGTCTGGAGGGTCAAGTTTACTCTGGCCAAGATCCGCAAGGCCGCCCGGGAGCTGCTGACGCTGGACGAAAAGGACCCGCGGCGTCTCTTCGAAGGTATGTGTGTATATGCTGCAGAGAGGCGGGGTGCTCGGTACTGGGACTTTGAGTCTTTATGATGGTGTTGAGTAACTATTACTGAACAAGTGAAACCGGCAGTTAGGTTTGTTCTCCAGCCTCCTGCTTGATAAGCGTGGTGCCCCAAGGGTGTTAGGACAGCCCTGCCTTGGTTCAGACCTGTTTTTCTCTAACTTTATGGGATTTATTGCTGGGAAGCCCAGGGCCTTACTCCACTGCGAGCAACACTCCCACTTTAATGTAGTGTTGGGTTGGAGATGAGAGGAAAGCTTATTTGATTTGAAATCTTTGCTTTTACTTTAGGGACGTAACTTTGGTTCATCCCCAGGCATTTTGTCTTTTCTTGCCCGGGAATGGAGACACCCCCTTGGACACCGAAGGCTGTGTTGTGTAGTAACACAGTTCTTTGTTTTCTTTGCTGTTAGTGGAAAGAGTAGGACCCCTAGATGACTGATAGTGGGGCGCAGTTCCTGGCGGCTTACAGTCCTTCATTTTGTTTAATAAAGGGGCTGGGGGTTTAGCTCAGCGGCATAAGCGCCTGCCTTGCAAGCAGGCAGTCGTGAGTTCGATCCCTGGTACCGATAAAAATGAAAAAGACCAAATAAAATAAAGGGTCACAAATATTTAAGTACTGTTTCATAAAGGCTTGAACAGGGGAGTTCTTGTAGAGCTCTTTGAGGAAACCATTTCAAGAAATGACATTGGAGGAGAGGATGCGAATGTTATTTTTTTCTCTGCTAGAGATTGAATGCTGAGCCTTGGCACTGAGCTACATCTCCAGGGCTTTTTATTTTGACTCAGGCTTTGGCTAAATGCCCAGGCCGGGCTGGAACTTTGCAGTCCTATATATCAATTAGTTCTTGGTGCGTGTGGGAACCACTCAAACCCAAGGTGTTTGCCCTGACTGGTGCTACAACCCTTTTCCCAGGCAACGCTCTCCTGCGACGACTTGTCCGCATTGGTGTGCTGGATGAGGGCAAGATGAAGCTGGATTACATCCTGGGCCTCAAAATCGAGGACTTCCTGGAGAGGCGCCTGCAGACCCAGGTCTTCAAGCTGGGTCTGGCCAAGTCTATCCACCACGCCCGTGTGCTCATCCGCCAGCGCCACATCAGGTACCATGCCGCAGGGCCCAGGCTGTCCCCGGTCCCCTGTGCTGGTGGCCCTCACTGACCCTGCTGTCCTTATCTCCTGTGCAGCCCTCAGAGCTGACTAGGGCATGAGCTCACCTGAGGTGCAGGTGCACCTTGCAGAAAGCTTGTGGGGGAGCTGGGGGCAGCTTTGGGGCCCCGTAGCCCAGCGCGAGTGTCACTGCGGCCCAGGCCGTACACCTCGCGAAGGTCTGCCAGGCGTGTGGGCAGCTGGACAGGTAACAGCTCTTGGTGCCTCTGGAGGGTAAGGGTTGACGGGTGGGCTCAGCTGTCCGCTGAACTCTTGTGGCTGGTTGGTGGCACTACATTGTGGTGCTTGTCACTGAAAGGTTAAGACTGCAGGGTCCCAGCAGGCGCAGGCCTATAGTGCTTGCAATCCAGGAAGCTGAGGCAGGCAGGATTGCGTGTCACATCCCAGCCTGGGCTGTGCAGTCATGGAGTGAGACCCTGTCTGACAGTTGTAAGAAGCAGGAGTGTGGCCCCCAGTTTCCCTTACGTGCTGTCCCCTCTTCAGGGTCCGCAAGCAGGTGGTGAACATCCCGTCCTTCATCGTGCGCCTGGACTCCCAGAAGCACATCGACTTCTCTCTGCGCTCCCCATATGGGGGAGGCCGCCCGGGCCGTGTGAAGAGGAAAAATGCCAAAAAGGGTCAGGGTGGTGCTGGGGCTGGCGATGACGAGGAGGAGGATTAAGCTCACCCTTCGTTTTCTGGCTAAAGGATTATTTTGTTTCCTAGTCACAGAGTAAACCAGGATGAACAGTCTGCAGTGGATGTTCTGTTTTGTGTTGTCCCTCCACCCCAGGACAGCCTTGAGGGCTGGGGCCCAGGGCACCACTGAGCCCAAGTGGGCAGAAGAGTGCTGTCTGGTCCTGCTGGCTTAGGTGCTGTGAACTCAGGGTGTCGCACCTGTGGGGTGGGCTGCATTTGCCTGTCACAGAGAGGGGCCAGCAGTCTCACAGTCCAGGCAGTGAAAGTAGCCAGTGCATATCCATCTCTTCCCTGCTGTGCTCCCAGCTGGGGTGATGCATGTTACCTTGATGCTGGAACCACAGATTTTAGGGTCTACTGTGTTCAAATCTGCAAGCTCCCAGTTATGTGTCTTCAGTGGCTTAAGTGAGTGGAAAGTGTGGGTTGCCTTTGCCCAGGGACATTCAAAGAGCCTTGGGCAGCATTCATTTATCCTGCTCTTTTGAGAAGCTGTGGCAGGCAGGTGAGGGGTTTCTTCAACTCCCTCAGCAGTTACATCCACCTTGCTTATTGTAGTTTCTTTCCCATGTGAGGACTTCGGAATCGGAGGTCATTCTATTCCCAGCATAAACAGCATGCTCCGGGCCCTGCAGATGCTTGTGAAGCCTACCCATGGTCTCCCAGCCTGTGTAGCTTATTGTAGCCAGGCAAGAGACCCACCCCTTGCAGGTGGCCACTGGGAGTCTGGTGGTCAGGTGAGTCATGTTGACCCAACTTTGGCAGTGTACCTTGGTCCACTGACCTCTACCTTCTGTGCCCTGTGCCTCGTAAGGTCCCTGCATTTCTGCAGCTGTGATGGGATCTGATTGGTGTCCTCGCAGAGCAGAAGGGGAGGAGGAGGCAGAGTACCCCGTCCAAAGTCTGGGGCAGTGGGAGGGACAGTGTCAAGACTTCAGCAGGAAGCTGGCATAGAGCCATCACCACCTCTTGTTCAGGCACACAGTTGGTTTCATCTGGAGAAGTAATAAGACCCAGGGCTGAGCTAGACTTGAGTGTTGCCTTTTAGGCCTCTGCTGTCCCCACAGTCTGCTGCATTTGGGCCTCTCTACAGTTTACAGACTCTTCCACCCTTCTTGCTCACTTTGGACATGCACAGCTCAAGGCTCAGACCAATGGAGGGGACCAGGAGAGACTGGCACTGTAGTGCCAGGAGCCTAGTGTGGCAGCCGTGGGATGCAGGAGGGCCAGTTGGACTTAATGTGTGAACAAGGAAGATGTGAGTGCCCCTGGCTGGCCAGCTGTCTGTCCTCAGCCTGTGTCTTACCACAGCAATCTGGGTTTGTGTTTTCCAAGCTCCCTGATCTCATAACTGCAGAGGCTGAGGTCTGCTGAGACTGCTCCCAGTTCTCAAAATGCTGTCCTTTGCACGCGACCCCTACGTCCTTGGCCTGTCCAGGCCCATTCTCTACCTGGCCTGGTCATCCTTACCCAGGTTTTCCAGGACCACGGCAGCAGGGCTGAGCTGTGAAGTTTTAGATGGCAGAGGGTGGGGGTGGTGGTGGGGAGTCTGGGTGTTTAGGGGGATGTATGACTCTGGACTCTGGCCCCGGGCTTTGCCTATGCATAAGATGAAAATGGGCCTCTAGCCTTCCCTGGGGCTGTGGTAAACTCTATAGTCCAGTCTGGGCTGCAAAGTGTTTGAGGGTAGCCTGAGCTGCATAACAAAGCCCAGTCTTTTTTTTTGTCTTTTTCTTTTTTATCGGTACCAGGGATAGAACTCACGCTGCCTGCTTGCAAGGCAGGCGCTTACGCCGCTGAGCTAAATCCCCAGCACAAAGCCCAGTCTTTAAAAAAAAGCCATGGAGACTTCCTGGATCTTCATTGAGGCTTTTAGATCTCACTGGGAATGCTGAAGAGGGTTCTTTGGCTGGTGGGTGAGCTCTGCACATGGGGTATATGCCAGTTAGCAAGTCCCAGGTCACCCTTTTCCTACATAGCCACCTTCCTGCCTCTGCCTGGTCCCTGGAAGCCACAGCTGCAGTGAGGAGAGCTTTCTTCCTAGTTCAGAGCTTAAGCTGAAGAGGGTGGACATTGCTGCTAAGTCCATGTTGCAGAGCTGTAGGGAAATCCGTGGGTGGGAGCAGATGTGCTGGATGGGAGTGGGGATGGGCAAGAAGGAGGTGGGGTGGTTGCCAGTGCCAGCTGTTCTGGGGCTGGAGGTCTGGATCTCCTAGGGTGTGGTATACCACCAGTGCCTTGGATTTTAGGATAGAGGGTGGATTGTAAGAAGGAAGCACAGAGGCCTGTTCCTAGAAAACCACAGCCATATGCAGAGTGTGGAAGGCTGAGTCCAGAGTGATCCATAATTAGCTATTACGGGTGCTGATCTGTAGTCTTGAGTGGTTTATGTGAGTCCCCATGGGTACTTGTAGCCCCGAAACATTTACAGGTGAGAGAAGAGAGGCAGGGCAGCTAGTGTTTCATAAGTTTGGCCAGTGCCCTTGGTACAGATGTCCCATCCCCGGCTGCCCAGGAGGAGAAGACACCTGTGTTTACTGAAGTAGGGTGGTGTATCCCAGGGGCTCCTGAACCTGTGTGGTGCAGCCAGCTGGGGTGTGGAGGAGTGCAGGGCGATGCTGTTGGAGGTAAGCAGGGGTGTGAGAAGGCTGCACCTTGCCCTGCGCCGGCTGACGGCAGGAGATGCAGGAGCTGATGGGCAGAGTCCCAGGGAGCAAGAGAAGGAGGCTGTGCACCTGCACAAGGCTGACCTGGCTCCAGAGGAGCCCTCTCCCTCCTGTTCTGGGTGTGTGGTTTTTCTCCAAGTTTTCTTTACTGAGTCCCCTGTTTGTGGAAATAAACTACACTCACTACTACAAGGGAAATAAATAGACTGAAACAAGTAAAAAGGCTTCATTGGTGATTACAGATTTCTCCATGGAGACAGCCCAGGGGTAGATTGTTTCCCTGGTAAGTTCTGCCAAATACGAAAAAGAGCCAGTTGGACACCAGTCCTCATACTGCCCTCCCAGGAAAGAAGAGGGGCACTTAAGACATTCCAGGAGGTGCATGTTACTGGTAAAAGACATGACAAGAAGAGAATGCTGTACATGATGTACACACCTGTAATTCTGGCTGCTCAGAAGGCTGAGGCAGGAGGCTCACAGGTCAAGCCTAACAGGCTAGGTAGTGACTTGGCAAGATCCTGCCTCACAGTAAAGTGCTGACCATGTAACTCCCTGTGCAGGCCCTGGGTTCAGTTTTCTACTACTGTAAACCAGTCCCAAAAACATGAATCATGAACAATGGCCCTTGTGAACACAGCTGGAAATTTTCTCAGCTAATCCCAGCCCTAATCTAGTAGCCTAAGTGGGGTTTATCCGACGAGTGTAAGGTTTGACACAGCTAAGTCAGTGTGCCACACTATTAGAGTTGACTGGGGCTGTATATCCTGGCTACAGCGGTTAGGCAGGCAGGGAAGTGTGGGTGGGGTACACAAGGCAAAACTAAATTTTAGTCTTTTCTGGCGAAAAGTTTTTATGTGGGAATTCATGAAACTAGGTTTTTGTTTTTGTTTCTGAGAAAGGCCCACTGTTTTGCCCAGGCTGGCCTCAAATCTGAGGCTGTTGTCCTATTTTAACCTCCCAAGAGCTGTGTTACAGGTGGTCAGCACAATGCCAGGCTCCCAAAAGCAGTACTAATTTGGCAGCATTGCAGGATGTAAATATGCAAAAATAAGTTGTATTGCTAACAATGATTTGAAATAGGATTAGGAAATGAGTTTATAATAGGGAAATGCTTAGGAATTGTTTTAACACAGGCTGCAGTAGTTGGACAGTGAAAAACTAGAAAGCATGACTAAAATAAAACTTTAATGGAGTTCCCTCCTGTGTTCATGAGTTCAGAGGCTTAATATTGCTCGATCACAACAGTCTCAAGTGATACACAGATTCAAAGCAATCTGCAAAATCTGGCTTAGTGCCTGCCTGGCAAGTCTGAGGTCACAAGTTTGATTCCCATTACCAAAAATAAAAAAGAACAAAGTTTGAGGGCTTACACTTCTGACTAAATCGCACTACAAATCTGTGATAGTCAAGGTAATGTGATGCTGCCCCCAGAACAGACCACGGACAAAGGAAGGGTTTCAAGAGTTCAGAAGCAAACCCAGTGATCTGTGCCTTGTGGGTTCCCCACTGGGACATTAAAGCCGTCCATTGGGGGAAAAATCAGAAGTGGAAATGTAAGGGTGAACACTAAGAAAATACAGTGGTAAATCTTCTTGACTTTGTCATGGGTTTCTTAAATATGACTATAAAGTAACAACACAGATACTGGACTTGATCAAAATTAAAAATTGAGTCAAAAAATACCTTGTTCACCTTGGTTACTTTTCTTTTTTGTTTCTGAGACAAAATACTTGATGCCCAAAATGAAGGAAGGAAAGGTTTATTTAGCTTACAGTTTTTTGGAGGTTTCAGTTCATAATCAGCTGTACTCCAAGTCAGGCTGAGGGGCAACATGGCAGCTGTGGTAGATACCAGAAGCAACAAGAGCCAAAGGGCAAAAGGGGAAAAGCGCAGTCAACTTCCCTGTCTTGAACACTGTGTGCTGGTTACCTGCCCCTGGGTGGGTACAGCACTCACACTCCCACTCCCAGCACTCCTATCGCTAGACAGTGACCAGTCATAAATGCTGGATCCTGCGGCCTCCAGAAGGCCAGTCCCTCATGATCACATGAGGCTTTGAGGGGATATTTAAACACAAACTAACATCCCTCTCCTCGCCCCCCAAAGACTTGCACATCCTTTATGCAAAAGGCATTTAGTCCATCTCCAAGAGGTGCCAGGTCTTAACAGGTTCAGCCTGGTTGAGAAGTCCAAGTCCCAAGTTTGAGATCTAAGGAAAACTCAGCTGTAATCCGTACACAGATGAAAACAAGGCTAAACCCTCCCAATGCTCAGGGACACAAAGGGTATAGACGGGGATACAAAGGAATGGGACCCAGGAGTTTTTCTCACTCTGTGGGTTCTCTTTTCACTGTTGGTGATTTTTTTTTTTTTTTTTTTTTTTTGCTATGCAAAAGCTTTTTAATAAGGTGACACCTCAGTTTTGATTCTTTTTGGTTCTTTCCTATGCAGTTTGAGTTTTGTCCATGAAGTCTCTGCCTACACTTATGTCTCCAAGACTCCTGCCTGTTCTTTCTCTCTTCCAGCAGATTTAGTGTTTCTGTTTTTTTGTTTGTTTGTTTTTTGTCTTTTTCTTTTTTTATTGGTACTGGGAATTGAACTCACGACCGCCTGCTTGCAAGGCAGGTGCTTATGCCACTGAGTTAAATCCCCAACCCCCTAGTGTTTCTGTTTTAATATTTAGATCTTTGATCCAGTTTGACTTTAGTGCATGGTGACAGACTTGGGTCTGGCGTTAGCTTTCACTCTAAAATCAGGAACAAGACAAGGATGTCCACTAGCATCACTTCTGTTTAACATAGTTCTGGAAACATTAGCTAGAGCAATTAGACAGGAGAAAGAAATAAAAGGAATAAAGTTAGGAGAGGGAGAAGTTAAATTGTCATTTTCAGATGACATGATACTCTACATATAAGACCTCCAAAACTACCAAAAGACTACTAGATATAATAACCAGATTCAGTTGTGTAGCTGAATACAAAGTGAACAAAGATCAATAGCATTCCTGTGTGCAAATAACAAACTCACCGAGAGAGAAATTAGAGAAACCACACCCTTCATAACATAAAAAAATGAAACACTTAGAAATGAATCTAACAAAGGAAGTAAACAATGAAAACTTCAGTACTTGAGAAAGAACATCACAGAGAATATCAGAAAATGCAAAGATATCCCCTGCTCAAGGGTGGGAAGAACCAACATAGTGAAAATGGCCATACTCCCAAAACTGCTATACAGATTTAATGCAATCCCAGTTACAATACCATTAGCACACCTCACAGATCTAGAGAAAATAATCCTAAAATTCATTTGGATCCAAAAGACCTAAAATAGCAGAAGCAATTCTGGGCACCAAAGGCAGGACATGGGGCGACACAATCCCTAACTTGAAATTATACTCCAAAACTACTGTGATGAAAACAGCATGGTACGGGCAAAAAAGAAGACCCATGGATCAGTGGGACAGAATAGAATATGTAGAAGCAACTCCAAACACACTCAGCCACCTTATCTCTGACAAAGTGGCCAGACACATTCACTGGAAGAAAGCCACTTTCATAAAGGGTGGTGGGAAAACTGACTTTTCAAAATGGAAAATTTAAAACTTAGATTATCTTTCTGAGACAAGCAACCTCTTCCACCCTTCCTCCTGCTGAGCATGCAACCTCTTCAGCCTAAATACAGTGATGGAATATGCAGAGGGGCCCAGAGGGGAGGTGGTGTGCCTGGCACAGGAAAAGGGAGGAAGAGTGAAGGGTGCTGGCCGGGGGAAGCAGTGTGGAGATCGCGTCGTCTCTGCTTCTGTCTGTGAAAGACCTTTGCTCCCCTGCCCACGGGGAGGTGGGGAGTTGAGGCAGATGGCCCCCATCTCCTCTGAGCTAGCTGTGAGTCAGTTGTTTGTGCTTTTTACCCAAATATATACCCTCCTTTGATTTGATCAGTGGTGAGCAGATGAAACCGAGCAGATAAACCCCAGTGGCTGGTGACAGCGTGTCATATCCTTAGCATTATCACTCGTCTCACACATCCTCTCCCACAGTTTCATTTCTCATGCACTCAATGGTTACTGGGGAATCTGCTTTTATTTCCCACACACAGTGATGCGAACTCCCTCTGACTGCAGAGTCAGGTGAGTCTCAGAAGGTCCCCGAATCTTTGGAGGTTCCTGTCCCCCCCCCACTCGCCCCCCTGGCTGAGGTGTCACTTAGCATCCTATGGGACAGCTCCTGGGTAAGGGGGCACCAGGGCAGCGTACACACTGGGTTCCGCTTGGAGGGCCCCATCCTGGGAGAAATGAGGAGCAGCTGTCCTCTGTATGAGCATCCAGTTGTTCAGCTGGGTGTAGCTCACATCCTGCGCTGCTCCCTGGGGATCCTTGTCAGGTGGGCTCTGCAGCAGGAAGATAGGGACAGACATGGGGTCTCCTTGGTTCCTTGCCAGCCATACAGTGGCCAGAGGGATCCTTTAGAAATTAAACCAGCCTCTGACCTTTCCTCATGGACCTTCAGGGACTTTCCAAGGCCTGGAGGGTCTGGCCACTTCCTCCCTGCAGTGCTGCCCTTCCATCCTGACGCTTGGACCCTGATCCCCAGGCTCTAGCCACATGGCCTGAAAGAGCCTGTCCCTGCCTCAGGACCTTTGCACTTGCCATGTACTCTGCCTGCAGTGCTGGTGCATTAGAGGTCCACGTTGCCCTCTTCATGCTGGCTTCTGTTCAGCAGTCATTCCCTGTGAGTCTCACTGGCCCTTCTGCCCTCAGCCCCTTTCTATGCTTTATTTCCATTCACAGCTCTGTGCTCCCCTGACACTGGCCTCCCACCTCAAGGTGACTCAGGTTAGGAGTGGGCTGTGTGCACCATTATGTCTGCAGCCCCTATGGAGCTAGTCAGGAGGGAGCCCCTCACTCCGTGATTCCTGCATGAATGAGGGAGGGACCTTGGGTGTGTGTGGCTCCTCATTCACTCAGGGTCCTTCTGAGACCCAGGGAGAGAACAGCCAGACAGAGGCTGAGGACCAGGAAGGGGACAGAGTGAGAAGACCCTGAGGTCACAGGAAACCAACAGAGGATGGGATCACAGGAAGTAGATGCCAGGCTTCCAGAAGGGAGAGCTCAGCTGTGAGGTCCCTGGGAACTGAGTGGTGGAAGGCGGAGCAGGGTCCCTGGACCAAACTGGAGACAGGAAGTCCCTGTACCCTGGATGGAGCGGGGTCTCACCCAGGCATTCAATTGCATCCCATTCTTAGTCTCTGCGTCCTGCATGGCGGCATCTGCAGGGATAGAAGAGGGGTCACTCCTGGCCAGAGTTCTGGGGTCTCTCAGCCCAGTTGTGGACACAGGGCCAGGAAGCTATGTGATGTCCCTGGGTTCAGTCTGACTCAGCCCTGAGCCCCATCCTCCTCTGCCCCTGTAGTGCTAGGACATTGGTGCTAGGACGTCTCCCACCCTGAACCCATCTTCCTTTCACAGAGGTTTTCCTCCTGCATGGGAGACATGGGGGTGTCAGGGAGGGGAGTTGCGGTCCTTGGGCAGAAATGACCTGCTCTGTAGGCCTCTGTCCCTAGACACTGCCCCATAGCCTCTGCAGGACGTGGGAAGTCAGTCTCTCTCTGGGCTGGGAGATGGACAGAGTCTCGGCCGGGAGGGCAGAACCACCTAGTCTGCAGACCATGCAGGGCAGGAAGGAAGCCTTGGACCCCGTGGACCAAGGAGCCCATGCAGCCTGAGGTGGAGAGGCCGAGACCATCCCGGAGACTCCCACAGGTTCGGCCTGCAGAGAGGATGCTAAACTTGCCTTCCTTCATCAGACTGGTGTCCTGGGCCAGCCTGGCTTAGATCACGGGGTCCCACAGCCTCCCGATACCAGGTCATCCTCTCCCCACTCACCTGCCTTCCTGCTTTTGCTCTGACACCAGTGTCTGAGGATGAGGAGGAAGAGTATGCCAACAGCCACTGGGCCCCAGATCACAGTCTTCTTCAGCCTGTTTGGTCCTTGAGGAAGGGTGGGAAATTCTGGGAAGAAATTCAGTGGTGACTTGTCAGTGTTTGCTGCCCAGGCTGTAGCTGTGTGCATGCCCCACCTCCAACCAACCCTCACAGTGCTGCAACAAGCCATTGCTGCTTCACAGGTGAGGAAACTGTGGCTCAGAGAGGGGATTACCTTCCCCACATGGCCCAGTGGGAAACAGCAGAGGTGGGGATTGAAACAGGGAGCCGGCCTTCTGCCCTGCTGTCTCCATCCAGCAAAGCTGAGATGGAGGGAAGGAGCCTGGACACCCTGCCCTAGCCCTGCACCCTCTGCTGTTTACTGCCACTGTCACTGCAGAGAGGGACAAGACCCCTGCAGTCACATCCTGGAGTTCCCCTGGGAGGCCATCTCTCCAGGGCTCACAGCAAGGTCAGCACTGAGGGAACTTGAAGATCAGGGCCAGGCTTCTCCTCTGTACCTGGGGAAACTGAGGCCCACACAGAGGGGCTGGTCCCAGTCAGCATCTCCAGAGGAGGCTGCAGCAGCCCCACAGCTCAGTCCCTGCCCTTGACCCCTCCCAGCAGCGCCCTCACTCACCACGCCTAGTAGGTGATCTTAACTTTGGGGGTCTGCATGGCCAATCTGCAGCGTGTCCTGGGATGGGATTTGGATGTGAGGGGCTGGACTTTCTGCTCCCCACCTCAGCTCCAGCCCCTCCCCCAGGCTGGGCCCTGCCATCTCCCCATGCCTGATCCCACCCTCAGGCTAGGACCCGGCCCTGCGGTTTTCAGGAGGGAGGAGGAGCCAGGCTGAGGGCTGCTTCCTTCCACACCTCTGCCTTCCTGTCCTGCCCCGTGGATCACCCTGTCTGTCACACTCGGGGGTGTTCCACTCAGTTACCCACACACCTGGGGCTCCCTGGAAGGAGCGCTCCTGTCAGAATCTGGAGACTCAAAAATGATGGGTCAAAGAAGGGACTTGCTCACCAGGGATCAGGAGCTCCAGGCAGTCACTGGGCTCTGACCACAGCCAGGGTTGGCTCCCGTTGTTGCCGTAGCATCTGAATGTCCACCGGTGGCTGGAGTTTACAGGGCCCACAGGGAACAGGGCCTGTACCTGCCCACTGGGGCCTGGCTGTGAGTCCAGGGTCCGGAAGAGCTTGTCTCCTCTTTCCTTAGTCAGAATGAACCTGTCAAATCGCTCCCTTGACCTACACTGGAGGGTCACATTCCCTCTTGAGGTCACCACAGGGCTGGGCAGGGCTGAGAGGCTGGGCTTGCTGTAGACTCCTAGGAGAGAAGGAGGCAGCCTGTGAAATGGACTCATACCTCCCACACTGTCCCCAGGACTGGGCTGTAAGAGGGAGGCACCCCTAAGAGCAGCCCCCTTCCTGAGGGCAGAGACTGAGACTGGGACCCTGAGTGTCCTCTTACCTGTCACCACCAGCTTAACAGGGTCACTGTGCTCTGACTGCCCAGAAGGGCTGAGATAATAACAATGGTATTGTCCTGAATAGCTCGCTGTCATGGATAGGATGGAGAACTTGGCCTTGTTCCTGGGCCCAGGAGACATCTGTGTGTCTGAGGATGCTGGGCTGCCCTCTTTGTACAGATGGTACTGCTGGGCCTCCAGGGTCCCCTCACACCAGAGGGTCACATGTTTCCCCCATGGTATCACAGGTCCTGGCACAGCCCAGAGCCTGGGTTTGGGCAGGGTCCCTGCAGGAAATCACAGCTGGGTCCCAGGACCTTCCTCCTCCCCTCAGATCCCAGCTCTTAGCCCCAGGACCCTCCAGACCTCCCAGCACCAGCCCATACCTGCTGTGCTCCATCCCCACTTCCCAGAGGTAGACCCTTGTCCCCAGAAGGAGGAAGAACCCAGGACATCTCGGTTCACACTCACCTGCCTGCCCTGGGGTCCCGGAGCCCAGACTCAGCCCTGGAAGAGAGTTGCTTGTGAGAGCTTTGCCCTGGAGCCTGAGCAGGTCCTCTGCTCCCCAGAGCCTTCTGAGCCTCCGAGTCTCCTGGACCAGGGCCTGGTTGTGGGGTGGGGTCCTTCCCAGACCACAGTGGGGTCCCTCCCAGACCAGTGTCCTTTTTCCTCTTCCTGTCTTACCCAGGCTGAGAAAGGCCATGAATGCAGGGGTCATGGTGTCTGCAACCACTGATCACAGCTGAGCAGATGTCAGGATGGTTACACAGACAGACAAACAGGGTGTGGCCACTTGGAGATGGGTTCTGCTTGTCATGGGTTTGTCATGCCAGCAGCCCCACAGGAAGGAGAGTGGTTCTCCACAGAAGCCAGGCTACTGTTTCTCTAGAGTGTGGGAGACAGGTGCAGGGTTTCCCCTGTCCTCTGAGCTTCCTGATCTGTCCCCCCCCCCCGAGTCAGGATTCAACAGCAAATACTCCCGGATCTGCCCCAGCTGCCCTTTCCAGGGGATGGTGCCCTGCGCTGGTCCTTTCTTTCACAGCCTCCCACGGGTCTCTTCCCTCCCTCAGGCCTTCCACCTGCACAGCATGGTGCCCCTCACCATGGCTTTTCTCTCTCAGCTCTTGGGGTGCTCCAGGGAAGATGCAGGCTCCTGCTGCAGGTAGACAGGTGCAGAGACACCTGAGCCCTGGATGTGTAGCTCACCTCAAGCTTTGTCCTGGGTTTGGGGGTCATTTTTTTTTTTTTTTGTCTTTTTCGTTTTTATCAGTACCAGGGATCCAACTCACAACTGCCTGCTTGCAAGGCAGGCGCTTATGTCGCTGAGCTAAATCCCCAGCCCCTGGGGGGTCATTTTGTGTGTGGGGGTTTTGAGCATCAAACCAGAGTTCTCACACATACTGGGCAGGTGCTTTCCCACTGAGCCCCACTTGCAGCCCCATGCTGCTGTGCTGAGTCCCTTAGTTTAAACACAAAGTCCTCCATTCATCACGAAGTACGTGATGGGAGGCCGGTGTCTTAGCTTTGATTACAGCAGGGCAATACCTGAAAAAATTCAAGGAAGAAAGGGTTATCTCAGGTCCCGGTGTCAGTGTGTCAGTCTGTAGCCAGCCAGCTCCACTGAGTTGGGGTCCTGCTGAAATAGAACTGTTATGGGTGAAGGAAAGGTTTAGTGGAGGAAAAGGAGGGGACAGAGAGAGAAGAAAGAGAGGAAGGAAGGAAGAAGAAAGAAGAAGAAAGAGAGAGAGGAAGGAAGGAAGAAAGGAAGAAGAAGAAGAAGGAGAGAGAGAGAGAGAGAGAGAGAGAGAGAGAGAGAGAGAGATTATGACCGTGCTCATGAGGCTACGACTTGTCTATTGGGTGGTGCTACCCACACTCAGGTGTGTCTCGTCTCTCCTTTTGCTGCTGCATGTGTCAATCATGTCTGGAAACGCCCCCTTTAGCACCCTTGCTGTACTGTGCTAATTTCCCTAGGCATTTCTCAATGCAGTGAAACAGAGAACAGAAATTAAGCAACACTACAGCAAGTCAAGAGGCCATGGGCTCCCTCGGAATTGAGCGATTCCCTGTCACTTCTGTGTTTAAAGGGCACTGCTGTATGATTCTCCCATTCAAATTATGGGCTCATGTCCAAAAGCGTAAAAGCCAGGATCGTGGGGAGACTCCTGAGTCTCATGTGCCCAGGAGCATCATTCACAACAGCCAAGATAAAACAACCTAAGTGTCCATCAGTAGATGAGTGGGGTCAGGAAACGGAGCAGCCTCGCCCCTTGCAAAAGAAAGGCGTTTTGTCCTAAGTGACAGCAGGAGTGGTTGGTGGCACTGAGCCTGCACTGAAGGACAGACACTGCATGGTGTGAGGTGAACGAGGGCTCCACACCGGTCAGACAGTAGGATAGGGCAGACAGGATGAAGTTCTGTTACACACGCAAGCAAGCTCTGGGATCTGCCGTACAACGCTGATCTTACCATGGAGAGGGAAGACTGCATGTTAAGTGTTTACAAACAGGAAAAAAATATATTTATTGAAGTCAACACGTGGCTGAAACAGGAAGCCTAAAGCTGGGATAAATCATCAACTGAATATTACAGAATACATCACAGAGAGGACAGGAATGGAAACAGATAATAAATACGCACAGGAAATAGGATGCAGTGAGCAAGGAGATCCCTATCAAGGTTTCACAAGGAGGAAAGCAGAAGGGTGTTGGGCAGTGCTGCTGAGATAACAGCTGATGGGTGACAGAGACAGGGAGGGAGAGCGGAAAGTGAAGCTATGCGAATACTTTATCTGGGATCTGTGAAGACCTTCAGAGGTCAAGGTGCTGAAGGCTTGGGCCCAGCCCTGGTGTGGGTGTGGGTCCCTGGGTTGGGTCCTTGAGGGAGTGCTGTGACCCTGGCCCAAGAGGTGATGAGCTTTGCTCCACCACAAGCTCAGCCTCACATCCAGTGTGGCAGCAATGGCCAGCAGGCCATGGCAGAGGCCCATAAAACTGACCTACAGATTTTTACGCCTTTGTGTTGATTTTCTCAGGTGCTTGGTTGTGGCAGGGGAAAGCTAATGCAACACCCTACTGTGATTTTGATTTGTGTCTCTCTGATGATTAGTGATGTGGGATTTTTTTTTTTTTTTTGTCTTTTTGAGACAGGGTCTCGCTGTGCAGTTCAGGTTGGCCTTGGGCTCATTTTGTAGCCTAGGCTGGTCTCAAACTCACAACGATCCTCCTGTCTCAGCCTCCTGAATGCTGGGATTACAGGTGTGAGCCACCATGCCTGGCTGGTTTTTTTTTTTTTTTTTTTTTTTTTTGCATAGCTGTTGGACCTTTATACATCACTTTGGAAATGACAAATGACCACTGTTATGGTTTGTGTCTGGGTGTCCCCCCAAGCCTCATGCAGTCATAGGGACAGGTTCCTTGAGTTTGTGATTGATTCATGGTTCAATGCTGGGTGTGAGTGCTATGCCCACCCTAGGGTAGGTAGCCTAAAGGACAGAAAGATCCTTCTTTCTCTGTTCCTACCTTTTTGCTTTTGTTGCTTTTCCTGTTTTCCACTGCCATGAACTGTTGCTTCTCTGCCATGAGCCACCCTGCCTTGGAGCTAGCTGATTATGAACTGAAACCTCCACAAACTGTGAGCTAAATAAATCTTTCTTTCCTTAATGTTGGGCATCAGGTATTTTGTCTCAGCAATGAGAGGAAAGCAACCAAGACAGCCACTCAGTTCCTGTGCTTATTTTTCTATTGCTGTTGTTATTTATTGTTTGAAGTAAATGGTAGGAGTTCATGAAAGAGTTGTTTATGGTAAAATGTTCACGCCACCCAAAGTGATTTGCATATTCACAATACCCTGCCCAAATCCCAGTGACATTTTTTTAAAGCCACTAGAGAAATCAATCAGAAATCTCTATGTCATCAATGAACTGCTGATCAGGAAGCACAAAGCAGGAGGCATCACATTCCCTGCACTTTCTGTACCTATGACTCCTCCATTTTGAGATTTGCATTCATTTCTCCCTTGTGCACTGTAAATACAGTTTTGTGGCTTCTAAGTCTATGCGTAAAACTCAGTTTTATAATATATATGCATGTATCTGTACACATATCTCTATGTCCATATATGTAGCTGTTTCTAATATAGCAATATAAAAATTACCTCTTACTATTTTATGGTCATCTTTATAGTACTATGACATATGCATAGTGGTTTTATGTAGAATTTTTCTGTTGGACTGCATTACCATAGCCCTTACACAATGTATCAATACCTGTGAGTCTATTCACAGGTATATACTATGTCTGTGTTTTTTGTTTTTTTCTCTTTTTTACTCCTGCTTTTATAATTGCTATCACATAATTTTATAATTGTTATAGTTATTATCAATCTCTCTCTCTCTCTCTCTCTCTCTCTCTCTCTCTCTCTCTCTCCCTCTTTCACACACATACACTGGTGCCTTGGTTCACAAATTCTTCTGTTTATGAGCAATTCAGTTTGGGACCAGGAACATTCAGGAAAACTTGGCTTATGTTTGCAAGGTCCATCTCAGGTGAGGAATAGGACCTCAGCCTCCTCCCAGCATCGTGGAATGAGTTAAGTTTGTGAATCGAGAAGCCACTGTATGTGTATGAAGACACTTGAGACTTATAAGGATACCAGTGGTTTGGGAGTTAGCTTAAAGACGTATGGCCGAAGTATTAACCACTCGGGAAATGTGGTCAGGAGAATTATGACTTGTAATCCATTAGAGGTTTGTCATTCAAGGGACAAACCTTTAGTTTCACTTGTTTCTTATTTCTTGGCCATGTTCATGTGTTTGTGTGCATGTAGCTTTGCTGATTATCTCATTTCCTGCTTGCTACTTGCTTAGGAATTAGTTTGCATTTTTTAAGAGGCTTTTAAAACTGAGGGTGTGACTTCGTGGTGGATCACTTGCTTAGCTGTCTGAGGCCTGGGTTGGATCCCAGCCCTCCAAACAAGTTTTTGTTACGTTTAGATCTTTAGAAGCTTCATATTTTCTTTGGAAAATTAGTTTTATTGGTGCATTTTAGATACACATAATAACCACATTCATCATATGGAGTAAATGCTCAAATGGCGCGGGGAACAAGAAGATTTGTACTTTCTGACACGACAAAGCTGAAGATTTTTGTCACTTAACATGTGACTTTATCTGCGTTACTATCATCATCTATGGCATGGTTTCATTTTCACTGAGTATAAAATATTTCGTAGTTTTCTTCTGAATTTTTCCACATCCCTTATTTATATTTTTAAAATTAGTTTTCAAATAGACTTTCTAGACATCTGCCTGCATTTTCCTAATTGAATTCAGCTGTTGCCAGGGATCATCCTCTCTGTGGCTTTTACAGAGGCTGCATGGGAAACAGAAAGCAGAAGGTGGGCCTGAAGCTTTGGGGTGAAACGCTTTCCAAACTGCAAATAGGTAGAGTCAATGGAGATGTTTCCCAAGTATTCTTTTTTTGGATGGATAGAGGGCGTTTACATATTTTATTTATTTATTTATTTATTTTTGTCTTTTTCATTTTTGTCGGTACCAGGGATCGAACTCACGACCGCCTGCTTCCAAGGCAGGTGCTTATGCCGCTGAGCTAAATTCGCAGCCCCTCCATATTTATTTTATTTTATTCTATTTTTTTTTAAGGGGAGTAAGACAGAACCACAAAGTGAAATGAAACAATGATAAGACAGTAAAAAATCTACAACAGTTAAAACACTGCATATTGTAATCCTCTAAAGAGTTGCTCAGACTACTGGCTTTAGGCTTGCAAAGTCAATCAAACAATACAGTTCCTTCAAATCAGCTAGTTGCTTAAAGTGTGTGTGTGGTTCTTCTTTTCTCCTGGCCCATGCACTGACTGGTTCACTGGGCTGGGAGGTGGGTTGGTGTGTAGCTTCCTTCCTGGTTCTCCCAGGTCTGCATGCCGCCAAGTATTCTTATTTACTAACTTTGTTCTGGAAGGGACAGGAGAGCTCCTCTATCTATGATTTTGAGTGTGACTTAGGCTTCTTTCAGTTCTGCTTTATTTTATGGCATTTTGAAGTCTGCCACTGGGTGGCGCACGCATTTAGAATGTTTGTCTTCCCCATGATTTGGGTCTTTGTCATTTTGAGATACTCCCCCTCATCTCTCTCTCTTAGTTTCAGTGTTTCTGGGGTAAAATCTGTGTCCTTTCAGTTTTGCAGTGGTCTCTTTGATGTTAGGGCTCTTCTTGACCTTCAGCATGCCAGGCGGGTTCTCTTCCACTGAGCCACATCCTTAGCCCTGTGGGTTCATGTTTGGTTTGTTTTTATTTATTGAGTCACATTTATTGGTACCATGGGTTCTCCTGTGTCATGTGCAGAACGTGCCAATCATGTGTGTACAGCTGCGGGATCTCACACACCAGTGTCACCTGGAGCACCCTCTCTATGGCACATGCTTGAGGGGTAGTTCATGGCACAGTGTGGAGAGGGTGTGCATGAGACAGATTCCAAGTTTCACATGTATTTACTGCTTCTTGCACTTCAGATGATTTGTTATGTTTCCAAATCCATTTTATGTCAAGGACAAAATGAAAGAAAAAGAAGAAGCAGAAGAAGAAGAAAAAAGAGGAGGAGGAGGAGGAGGAGGAGATGAAGATGAAAAAGAAGAAGAAGAAGAAGAAGAAAAAAGAGGAGGAGGAGGAGGAGGAAAAGCAGAAGAAGGAGAAGAAGGAGAAGAAGAAGAGGAGGGGGAGAAAAAATACAACAAAAAATCAAA